CACATCATCATCACATGAACAGCTTTTAATGGCCTACTGGACATAGGCCACTTCCTATAAAGGAGGTTTTGGTTTTGGTTTAAATATTATAATAAGAGTTGGTTATTGATTAATGCTGATATTTACATTTCATTTCTGTTTTCGCATCGAAAATCGAGGTAAAGAAAAAATGATTTAACCCGAAAAAAATGATACTGTCACATATCCTCAACTCATACTCATACTGTCGTACCTTGTCCGTGACGGATTAAGAACACGAAGTGTCACCATCCCTATTAATCCCGTGGGTATCGTAAGAGCCGAATAAGGTAGCAAAGTACGCCGGACAACAGCACTGCCAAGATAAGGAAAACTTGACACAAACCCGTCTGACCAGCGTTGTAAAGCAGCCCAAAATCTCCTTTCTAAGCTGAGGCCCACGTCTGTTGATGATGAAGATGATGTCGCATCTAAATATTTTTGTTTTATTGAAATCTCAAAAATATGTTATCAATGAAAAAAATAGTTTTACTTTAACTAAATATTTCATACTCATATTTTGCCTTAAGAGGATTAGGCAGTGTGAATAGCGAACATGTCTCATCCTCAGAAAATATCATATAATCCGGCTTATCTCCTTACTGTGTATGGGTTTCTTATGTCATATCGAAGTGTCAATAACTCCTAACTGGCGAAATTTGGGACAGATGAGATTTGGAAAAAAAAAGCATTAAATGTATGTACTTAGTTTAGTAGTTATTAATTACTTTAGTTTAGTTAGGATTTACTTCTAAATTTGAATTTAGAGAACTAAAAATAAACCTACTAACTCATATGAATAGCAGCTTTTAGTTTAAGATGTTCAAAATTGATATACTCGAAAAACGACAGTTTAAAAATAATAATAAATAATATTCTACTACATTCACACAACGCTATCTAGTCTCACACTCAGCAGCAGAGCTTGTACTATGGGTAGTAGACAACTGATATAAATACATATATACTTTTTTTTGTAAATATATACATGTATTATACATAGAAACACTCAGACCAAATCAATCACTAAAAGTTCATGCACACAAATAAGCAGGATCGAACCCGCGAGCGTTGGCCACCTCTACGCCATGCGGCTGTCTTTTAATTTAGAGGTACTTATCATTTGTCAGTTTATCATCGATCGAGCGTCCAACAAATCAGGGCTCACCTCGCAGATGTGTCGGACGATGCGGGCAGAGAGAACCCTCACAAACAATTTACCTGCCTCGTCCAGCTACACGATGAGCCTGTAGGCGCGATCGAGTTGGCAGGCCGTCCCGACTTCCTTAGCAGGACCAGATTCCCGCTCTTCCAGCACTCAGGGAAACGTCCGGACACCAAACACTTCCCCGAGGTGGTTTGACATATGGTAGATCAAATACTTACAATAGGGAGAAATATATAAATGTTGACTGTATTTATTGGTCAGTTGAAATGAACGATTAATTACAAATTCCAGTAAATATAGAGAAAAGTAGTTTATTTACTATTTTTACAACCTACCGTAAACTTTGTGACACATAATAATATGTGAAATTTATAAAATATCCTATTTTTTTTTTCAATATACTATTGTACCTATCCTCCTTTCTACCTTGTTCCTACCTATTTATATTTGAAACAAAAGAAAAAGGAAATTTAGAACTTTGCGTCATGTTACACCCTTCTGATTTAGACGGTGTCTAAAAATAGCTCCAAACATAGGATTGGAGTGCTTTAGGTTCGAGAATTCTCATACTCTGGATCTACCAAGATAGGTATATAAAAATGGCATTTAAACATATTCTTAAAAACACAATTTTTCTACCCGTGATTTCATTATGGCATTTTAAATTTTTAAATTATAGTCTAATTTCGTGATAACTAATAAAATCATTAAACTTGTTCAGGACACATGTTCAGACATATTTCATTGTGTGATGTATAATATATATAAATCTATACAATGTTACAAAATGTACTAAAATATTGTGCTATCGAAATACATTATCTTACAATCAACTTCAATCAATCAATCAATCAATCAATCAGTTTTTATTGTGAAACATAGGTATACAAAGGTTGTTTACAGTGGTAGAATGATCTACTATGTTCTGCCATTTAGGCTTACAATAAATAAAGAGAAAAAATAAAAATTTGTGAAACGCTAAATTTAAGACATGCAAATAGAACTACATTGAATTGTCGCAATTAAAGCAATATAATATTTCAGTTTGATTTTTCGTACCTTAGAGCTTAAAACATGCAAAATCAATGTCTCTTTTTTATAATTTATGTATAAAATTTTAGAACTATGATGTCAATAAAATAATTACAATGTCGAATAAAAAATAAAGATAAATAATAAATAAAAATTGAATTCTCCAATCAAAATATTAAAATTATGGAATAAGTATGTATTTGTAAATTCATTTCTTTTAATTAATTAATTAATTATCCCCATTTACCATCTAAAAATTCTCTTATATCATAATAACATTTTTCAGATAGGCATTCTTGTAGATGTTTTTTAAATGGGATTATGTCTAGATTTCTGATGTGATCGGGTATCTTATTATAGATGACAGGTGCCATACAGAATATACTTTTACGCATTAATTTTGTATTTGCTTTTCTTATTCGCATCCTATTACTGGTGTGGGTTCTTCTATTGCGAGTAACCGTATCAGCCAATGTTTCGAACAGTTCCAGGTTCGACTTTACGAAAACTGCTGTTTCAAAAATGTATAAAGACGGCAATGTCATAATTTTATACTTTTTAAAATATGGTACACAACTATCTGTAGATTTTAATTTGAACATTGCTCTAATGCATTGCTTTTGAGATTTGAAAACAATTTCTTTATTTGTCGAGTTTCCCCAGAATAGTATGCCATATCTAAGATAGGAGGCGGTTATTCCATGATATGCTTTAAGTATACCTTCCTCATTGAGCAGAGGTGCAAGCTTAAAAAGTGCATAGGCTGTACTGCTGATTTTTTTGCATAACTCTTCAGTATGTATTTTCCAATTAAGCCTATTATCAATATTCAGTCCTAGGAATTTAGTAGCGTCAATTTCATTTATTTTAATATTATTATATGTTATATTCATATCTTTAATTATATTATGTCTTTGTGAAAATTGTATTAAATTTAAACTTCCACCTTTATAATTTGCCTTATCAAGTAAAGGAATGGCAAAATTTATTACAGTGCCATCTCTTGTGTTTTGATGGAACTGTAGTCATACTTCTACCTTCTGTTCATAGTCACTTGCGTCATGATAATCTGCGATTGTTGTGACAATGTAACTGTCGGTTAAAAAAAATAGTTTTAAATATAACCGGTAGATAGCACAAACAAACATTTTCGTAGTATCATCATCTATCTCGTGGTACGTACGGAATCGACGGTGACAACCGCATAAAAATCCGTTACTTGGTTTATAGGTATGGATTTTTATATTCTATTATTAAGTAGATAAAGTTCTAATTATCTATACACAAAGCTATATGTTCATCTATCTACATTCTATATCTGTCAAATTCTTTATTCTTTAACCCTTAGGGGTTCAATTTTACCCTCTCTCGCAAGACTGTTCCCCTAACTTTTTTATTAGGTTTATTATTAGGAGTTCTCTATAGTACCTTACTGATATATGAAAAAAAAAATGAATTAGTAATTTATTTATTTCTTACATTAAACAATAAATTATTACTACAAAACACATGATCAGAATTTCACACCGAATCATTATGTGCTAATAAACGCAGCCTTAATTGTACTGACAGAATACGAGTATTTAAACAACACAATCTATTATTAGTTCTACCTTAATCAAACAGTTTTATTTTTCTGATTCGTTTTAGATATTGACTCTTTTGCATACATAATCCTCTTGAAATTTAAATAAATATATTTCTTATTATTTGAACAATACCTAAATATTTTTAATCATTAGTTTTTTGATAGTCAAATAAACAATTGCTTATTCATGCTTTCGGTAAACTATTGTGCAGAATTAAATCGAAAAATCTCATAGAATTTAAATTATTGCATTCGAATGTTATTATCACCGCTACTTAGAGTCAAGTGCTTCAAGAGAGAAAAGAGCTATCGGTTTTGAAATTCGTGCACTTGTAGAAAACGGCAAAATTCGTTGTTCTGTGTGCACAAATGTAAATCTCAATAGTGCCATAAATCTTCAGAAGCACTTACAACATTTAACGGCAAACATGGTACTACTATTAGTGCAGCGCCTCCTTAACATATAAAAAAAATAACAAACGAGAAAAAAGTAAGAGGAAAAAAGATACAATTAAAATTAGAATTAGAATTTCTTAAACGACCTAATTGAGAAAAACCTCCATGTACAGTTAATCAACTGAACAGATTATAGATTAGAAGTTTTTAAGCTATTGCATAGCTTCTATCGAGGGCCTTGAGCGCGGGGACCGAATCCAGAAATTCCGTAACGAAAAAAAACCTCACGCTAAAAACAAAACAAAAAACAGTACCAAAATCAAATGCTGAACGTCAAAGGAAATTTCGTCAACATAATGCAGAAAAATCTTACATGGATATGTAATTTGATTTAATAATAATATTTTTTATTTATTTATTTAAAAAGAAATTGTAATAAATGCTTCAATATTTTTGTTTAATAAAAGAAAAAAAAATGTTTTCTTATCGGTCACCACGCTCAAAAAGTGTAACTTGAATTAATATCAAAGAAAAAGAAATACTGCATGAATAAATTAAATAAATAATTATAATTGCATAAGTTGATACAAAATGCTATGCAATAGCTTTACCGCGGCAGTCCCCGAGTGCCACACGTCTTTTTTTTTATTTGTTATGATCAATCACTTACTTTTAAATGGCTGATTCAAAAGGTAAAACGTTTTACATAAACACTTATAATATGTAAAAAACTTACACTTAGTGCTTTAAGATTCACGTATCTATAAAAAAACTTTTAACACCTACAAGAAATACGTTTCAATACATTCTTCTGAAGAGTGCAAGTGCGGCTGCAGACGTCAGGACAAGACTCGACGTGTCCAACTGATGGCCATTGTTGCCCAATCTGCAGGTATCCTCTGTATTGTTGAAAGTATAAAACTCTGTGTTTTGAAGAGTGTAGTTGGCCACGGCTTGATCAAGTTGAACTGCATCCGTATCTTTTAGATGCGGTGTCCTGGTGAGCTTCCAAATCTCATCTGAAAAAAGGTTATTTTTTTAGTCCTGTAATTTATTTAACGTTGCAATTTTGGGTAATGATGTTTCTAATTATATTACGAGCTGTTGCATTGATTGAAATATGGAGCAATTAGAATATAGTTAACTTTAAAGAAGTGTTACCGACTGCAAAACGCCTAATCATGCTGCATTGTAATAAAGCAAGTTCTTCACTCTTTAATTTTAGGTTTCAAAGGGAAAGTAAGCCCTCCCAAAAAAAACAAATGACTATGAATAACGGAGTTTTAAGGTAGTAAATTAAAAACAAGAAATCAACTTTGAATTTTTTATGTCTTCAAAATATTATTTGGATAAATCTCGGTTTGAACTTTTAATGGTTAAATTTAATTAAACATGTTAAAAAGAAAAGATATTTCGTATTCCACTGATTATTATTCGCAACAATTAGTTGAGGTCATCGGTATTATTTATAAAAAATACTGCACGTATCAGTCATCTGTCGGCATCTTTTAACTACAAATATTACGTGGTTATGAAAACACCAATATGATAATGTTATCGAATATAAACCATTTTGCAGTCAACGATAACTAACTTTTTGTATATTGCTTTGTATCTATAGACTGATGAGATAGTGGTATCTAATCAATGTTAGTAACCTTAACCAAAAAACTAAGGCTAACATTTAAAATTTAACAATAAAAAAAGATTTTTAATACTCTTTTCTTAAATTTACGTACTTTTGCTTTTTATGACAATTTTTCTATGTTATTTTCATTTTTATAAACCAATTTCAGGGATCAGGACGTCCAACAACCGATCAACCTTCAAGATTGTACACAAGCTCTAGGGAGATTGTTTTGACGTAGTCATCAGAATAACTATTCGTGTCTTTATTATTGTATGTATCATATAATATATATGTGTATATGATATTTATAGAAAATCTCTTCAGATCTCCGGTTCCTTGGGAACGCAGGAGCCGGAGGTGTTTCTACTAAAAAACATCATGAAGGCCGTTCTCTATATGACGGTATTTGCGTATATCTTTCCAAATCTGGGTTTCCTTTAATTTTTAGTAGTTTAAAAGTTTACCTCTATGACATATTGTAGAATAAGTTATAATAATAATATTTTCACACATCTCACACACGGCCGTCTGATCCCAAACTAGGCAGAGCCTGTACTGTGGTAACCAGACTGCGGATAAACATACTTATATATTTCTAAATAAATATGTATTATATATAAAGTACACATAGACACAGAACAAATGACCGTGGTCATCACACAATTATTTTGGCGTAGCAGTCAGGGTTCTAACCACTAGACCAACAGGCCAGTCAGTTAATTTTTTTATATGTGAAAATGTTTCCAAGTTTACCTAATTATTTTTATATAGTAATATTGTATTATGTATATAATAACTAGCTGCGATCCGCGGTATTACCCGCAGTTATTGTTGTACCTTGCTCATCGCACGGGAACACTACATTTTTTCTTGATAAAAAGTTACCAATGTACTATTCCAGGCCATAATCTATATCTGTGCCAAATTCTAATAAAGATCTGTTCAGCCGTTTTTGGGTAAAAGAGTAACAAACATCCATACAGCCATATAAACTTTCGCCTTTATAGTATTACTGAGATAATAATTACAGCATAATGGCACTCAAGAATTTTAGGTAAAAATTTTGGACAAATTATATATTCAATTAATTTTCTTCAACTAAGTGAACTCTAAAAACCATTCAAACTAATCAACAAATAATTGAATGTCAGCATCACGCGGTTTCCGATCCACCGCGCTTGGCCTCCATTTGACCAGCAAATTGTTCCCGCTACCGGTTGGCAAAAAAAAAACATCATAATAATTGTGACTCACTCTTTAGACTCTCCTGAGATTCACTAGTTTTAATGCGTTTTAACGTTTTATAAAATGCTCATTTTTCTTAATACATACTAGCTGACCCACGAAAGTAAGTCCGCATATCTCGAAAGAAATATTTTTTCCCTTTTTTGCAACGTTTTTTATTGATGCTTGGCTCCCATTAGTCGTAGCGTGATGCATATAGCTTTCCTCGATAAATAGACATTCAAAACAAAAAAAAACAATTCGAACCAGTAGTTCCTGAGATTATTGCGTTCAACCAAACCAATTAACTCTTCGGCTTCATAATATTAGTATAGAGGCTTAATGTGTTAGGAAGAATGTATCGACGATTCATCCTCCGAGCCTCTTTTCCCAAACTAGATCAGGGTCAACTTTACGAGCACGTGCTCTCACGGATTGATTCATTACTGATTCCTGAGATGCGTCTAAAGTTTGAAACTCCTACCTTCCTACTTCATATCTTGCATATAAAGCCTCTTGTACAAAATTGCAGTACACAAGATTTTATACTATTACTAAGTCCTGCCTAAAGTTATCTTATACAAGAATGTCGATTATCAGTACACACTCAAACGCAAAACCCGTTTAATATATTTTTAATGTAAGTGGATATGCTATTCTAGTACCAATTATATTAATATTTATCAAGGCATGATAGCAAGTATACTAGCTAGCTTGACAAGCTTAATTTATTTAAAAAAAAAAAAAAAAAAATACTGATTAATTTTTGTGTGTTAAAGAGAACGAGTGTAATAAGTAAAAGTTTAGAAAATGATTCACTCTCGTGATTATAATGTTAGTTAGGTGAGGTAGATTAACATTTGTACATATAGATAGATTTTACACAGGAAAATCTGTAAATCAGAAATTTGACTGCAAGCAATAGATTTATGGGCTTTCCTAAAGGGCACTTACTTTTTTAGTGTATTAGTATATCTTGCTACTGAGTTAAATAATAGGGAACAACTAGAAGAAATAGACACTTTAAAAATCTCGATCCAGTTTCATCTAAAGTAACACTCTACACTTACTTAAACTTGAACCCTGGAATCCTGAGCGCAAATCTAGACATACCGTAATGTTATAATCTTCAACAATCTTTAATAGTCCACTACTGGACATAAGCCTCTCGTTCGAAAGGTTTTGGCCTGCTATACCTCGCTGGCCAGACGGGTTGGTATAGGGTTTGTTTCAAGTTTTCCTTCTCTTTGCAGTTCTGTTGTCGTGCTTAGTTTGCGCCCTTTGTCGGCTCTTACGACACCCACGCGATGAATAGAAGGAGTGGTGACACTCTGTATTCTTTACCCATCACCACATGGACCCGGACGGACGGATATTATAATACAAAACTTAAAGAAAGATAAGACTTAAATAAAATCACATCTGTAACTGTGATATGATCCTTCGATCCTCCAGGCCTTTTTCCTTAACTAGGTTAGGGTCGGATTTAAATCTACCACGGTACTGCTGAATTTCGATTTTTTTACGCGGAGCAACTGCCATCAGATCTCCACAACCAAAGTACTAGGCGATATCGAATTTCTTTAGAAAAGCTATTCTGTCGGTTCTAACTACTCGTAACAATTGACACAGATATTCACAAGACAACCGGGACCGACGCCTTAACGTGCTCTTCAGAGACGATATATTAATAATATTATAAAAATTTGAAAACTTACAAGTACTGCTAGCGCCATCTTCGTTGTCATAACATGCGAACATCACTGCATAGTGTTCATAATTTACGTCCAAGAACGAATAAGTTTCCGTTTTATTATCTGTGAAATTCATTATAAGGCTAAGAGACTGTTAAAAAGAAAAAAGAAATAGAGAGTTGGAAATTAAATTAATTTATTTCTGTTTGCTTTTAGCGCATAAAATTTCAATCAAAAAAAGGATTCTACTATTGGGAAAGATAAGTTTTGGCACATGGCCCATATGTGGCAAGTCAGAAGTAATACTACGGTCTCACAAAAAACCGGTGATAAGTAATTATTTAGGTAAATTTCACCCGGCGATTAAGATTACAGAAGGCGCAACCTCTCCTCTCCCCTTATTCTGGCAGAGACACTCAAACATCAGGAATGCATTTGTGACACAATAAGTTGTAGTTACCTCAGTTACAGTAGTACTATCTGGTGATCGTTTGTCCTCTTAATTATAGCAGATATAAAAAAATTGGGACTTTGAGGCAACGTCTTTTAAATCTTACTAAGGATTAATTTAACTTTTTTAGAAGAGAGAAATAAAATTAATGGTTGTAATTAAATCATAAATGACATAAATATTTGCTCTAACTTAAAGAAAGCACAAGTTTATATCGCATACTACCAAAATCAAAACAAAATACTAAAGCTCATACAATGAGAAAACCACATCAAATACACTCGTTCTATTTGATCGAAAGATCTTACCATTATAATCAACCTGCAAAAGATCAGCGCTAGCATTTGTTTTTGGATTCTGCTTCAGAGATACAGTCCCATTGTAATACGATGCTGTATTATTGGTGATCCAGCTGATGGAAACGTCAGTAATATTCTGGTGATCAAAAAGGACCATTGCACAGTCTCCTTTGACTTCAAGATCTTTCGTGGCTACGGCTGCGAGGTACCAAAAACCGTCGAGCTGGAAACACATTCATGGTGTAAAGCATATCGAATTCTTTAAAAAATTAGTAATCTTAATGGTTATCGTCGTCTAGAGTCCATAGAAGATGTTAGATAGATACCCACAGCCTTTACTAGTCCACTGCTGGACATAGGCCTCTCCTTAGAAAGGAGGTTTTGGCCTACTATACCACGCCGACCAGACGGGTTGGTATAAGGTTTGTTTCAAGTTTTCCTTCTCTTTGCAGTGCTGTTGTCCTGCGTAGTTTTCTCCCTTAGTTGGCTCTTACGACTCCCACGGGATAGGGGTGGTGACACTGTGAATTCTTAATCCGTCACCACACGGAGTCAGATAGATAGATGCTCTTCATTGCACACCAAAAAAAGTATTGTACAATCTAAACACATGCTAATAAACAATAAAATATGCGGTGGCATAGCAATCAGTGATCTCTTACAGACAACTAGGAGAGACTATACTGTATAGTGATACCTACTTAGGTAAGTGATGGTGCAACAACTACGAAATAAAAAGAAAATGTTGTGTGTTGTTAGGTGTATAGGGATAGGGGAGGGATTTGTTGCACCAAGGACTTCCTTTCTAGGGTATACCTGGTTCCCCGGCTATTAGTAGCCGAGACGGCGTGCGGTTTTAGTCGGTTCGAGTCCGACATGCCACCGAGAGGTGGTATCCGCACGGAAAAAAAAACAAAGGGGAGGGATTTGTAGGCTAGTGATAGATTAGGTGTTTATTTTATTTCTTCTATTTACGGAGACCAAGAATTTTCTCCAACCAACCAAAAAAGCAACCTTTACTTGTTTTTCATGTATCTGTTTTGAACAAAACATTTATTATTATTTCTCTACTTGTTTTCAAGCCTTCAAGAATCTTTGTAAAGTGTTTTATGGAAGCTGATAACACTTACATGGTAATGGACATATTAGAATTAGACTAGTTAACATACCAATACTAATTTTTTTCTCTATCATAACAAGCAGTGTGATCATATAAGACGGGATATCAAGTTGTACGACATCGCAGTTTTGAATGATTTCACTAACCGACCCAAATCTCTATCCCAGGATAGGAGACTTATTAAAATCAATGAGTTTACTAAGATGTGGCTAGCCATGATTATAATATCTAGGCACTTGTCTATTTTTAATTTTGATCTGACCAGTAAGAAAACCTCTGCTAAGTCATAGGAGAACTGAAATTAATCTTTCTTAAAATAACCACCCTGGACGAATTATTGTATGCATTATTACCCTTGATATGAATGAATTGTATTCTCGAGTTTTTTAAGAGTTAATTCTCCATCTTAGTGACAGAAAAAGTCGCCAGCACAACGAACCAGAAATACATATGTGACGTATGAAAGTGTGAGTAAAAGTCTATTTACAAGCATAGATTATTTATTTATCATTGCCATTATTAAATACAAATCTGAATCTATTTAATCACAAGAAAGTGGTATCTTATCTTTTCAATATTGCGATTAAACATCGACATAAAACTTCAATATGCAAATTTCAAAAAAATAATAATAATAACAGAAGTTTAAAATACATGAATTTATTTATGAGAGTCAAGCCACTGCTATCGAGTAGACTGGAGCCTTAACTCTTAACAATTATTATGGGTTTGTGTTAGGTGATATGTTTATGAATGCGTAAGTATAGTGCATTAGATATTGTGTGTGTGTGTGTGTGTGGACGTATGAATTTGTATTTTGTGTAAGTATTGTGTGTGTGTTAGTGAGTATATATATATTTGTTAATACAAATGCAAATCTATGCACACATAAATTTGCATTTGTGTTTTAAATTTTAATGACTGTTTTGAGAGACTTATGAGCACTTTCTAATTTTAAAGTTATCGAAGCTTACCGCTTTCCAATCCAACTTCCTTGGCGTGATGACAGGGCACGAAGAATTCATGGTCGCACCATCCACATTCATGACCATGAATACCACCAAACAACTTGACATCAACATTTTCACGAACATTAACTACGGATGCTGGCGGCCAACTGAAATGTGACGTAAACAGTTACGTCTTTTATTCCGTATATTTTTTGTTCGAACCGATAGAGTTCCGGGGAATTTTACTTGTAGATTTAAGTTACAGAAGGTAGAGCTAAAGATATTAATTCTAAGAAATATATTTCCATTTTTTTGGGAACAAGAGGGTTGTTTTGTGATGGAACCCGTTTTTTATAAAAGTGATTAAGTATCACGAAATGGTTACGTAACAAATTAGATATTATAATATTTACTAATACGAGTACTAAAGTATCTACAACATCATTGATAGAAAAAAAGGGAATTTTTGTAACAGCAACAATAGATTATTTAATAGTGATATTTTCATGTAATATCAAATAAAAACCGGATCAATTCGTACCTATTTCAAGATTTGTTAGGTTCGATCTCCATTTCAATTGTCATTGCTAACGGTATGTTACTTCGACATGGTTTTAGTGTTACCGGATCTAATGATAAAATATAATGGCATGGAGCGCTACAATAATAATATACTAATAAGTATGTTTAATTCGATGTTATCTATACCCAAGCGAAACATAGCTTTTATTTTATGAGTTCTAGAACACGGATAATCATACCTTGGCACTTTTTTATAAATACATAGACTAATGTAAATAAACTAATACAATTATTTAGGTAGACAAATGTTAACACTGAGCGGCCGTCATACGCTCCATGGCCGGCAGTGACAGATGTTTTAGGTCGCGTTCTTCTGCGAAGACGTCATCTCGCAGAAGGAGGCGGCGGAGAGAGCTCGGGAGGACCACCTCCACTCGGACCCAATCTGTCGTCGGCGAACCGGGCGGCGAAGGCGCGTTTACCTGCGCCTCATGCCACCCTGAGTGTGGCCGCGAGGAGGGAACGTCCGCGTGTGCCGTCGCCTAAATAGAGTATGAACCCGAAGGTGGTGCCCGCGCCGTTGTGGGCCGGCGCTAGGAAGGGTCCGGATGTCTTAATAACAGCAGTTCCAGGATCCCTCTTATTACAGGCGCAGAGTGGCACACCGTGTGGTTTTAGTCGGTGCGATTCCGACACACCACCCCGCTGCAAACCCCGGTAGGGTGACGGCCCGAGGAGCCGCCTCCACACGTAAAAAAAAAGGACTCGAAGACAATCGAAGTTACAAAATGGCGTACAATACCAATACCGTCCCCAATTAAGGATAGGGGGTTTGGGGTGCCGGTAAACACACTTGCTTGATGAAAAGCACTGGATGGAAAATCGGTGTTAACACCGATTTTCTGTTGAGGCGTGATAAAAAACAAAAACAATTGATATATTAGAGGATCAGATTTTTCCGATAACAGCCTGTTCAAGTAAAAGTTATATTTGACCTACTAAAGTTATAGCTGACATTCTCCAATCCATCCGTATTAGTATATTATTACCCTTTCCTACCATTGTCCTCTCTCTTTACCTACCTTTCCCTTACAATATAATGTACTCCTGATCTTCCCACCTACAATTCCCAATGTTCCTAGTTGAACATTCGAATTACCTAATATCTTTGTAAGTATGTATTTAATTTTTTTCAATTCGAAGTAATTCGAATTTTAGGCCAAATAGAAAATAGTTAAAAATGTGACTGTTAAATCTGTGTTTGTTTGTTACAGTAAAGATTAACGGGAACTTTTAGAAAATTATAATTATATTTAATTTGTACATAAAAATATCATCATCAGTCTATCGCAGTCCACTGCTGGACATAGGCCTCACTCATTGGATATATTAATAAATAATATATAAATGTATATATTATGTGTCTCTTGTACGTATATGGAAATATTTTTTCGATGTCATCATCATCTTCCTGTCTCTTGCGTAGTTTGCTCCCTTAGTCGGCTCTTACGACACCCACGGGATGAATAGGGGTGGTGACATTCCGTATCTTAATCCGTCACCACACGGACATGTTTCGTTCGACACGTCAATTGTTTTTAGAATGAACATAAGTAGAGGGAAAACTGTGGTAAGGAAAGTGGATAGAGTGGGAATCGAACCAAGAACATCTGACTGACTAACTATCAGGATTCAGGACTAACAGCTCTGGTAAAATTATCACAATGCGTACTGTAAACTTCTTCCTTTTTACTTGTCGAAAACGTGAAAAATATTCCAGACGTTTATTTATTTTTTATTACAGTATGTCTTTTTGTGGCATCCATCCAAGGCCAAAAATAGTTTTATAATCTGTTTAAATGTAACAAAACCTGTACAATGGTGACAATTACTATTATTTAGATAGGAAGTAACTTCCTCATCCTCTTGTTTAAATACGTTAAAAAAGACCGAGGCCGTCTTTTGTTGTATCCATCTCGTTTTTATTTACTCAAATAGACTTTTGTTTGAAAATAGAACGACTCTTTTTTGTTCACCTATACTACGAGTAATATGAATGTTGAAAAACTTTGTTATATGAACTTTTTTATATGTTGAACACACAAATCACATAAAAAACCTATAATTAGGGATTTTTTTATGAATTTCGTCTTCCCATTCTCGAAATAAGGTTAGGAAGGTTCTTGTCTTTATACACTGTGGGTTAACCTACCTAACCTTTGCGAACCTTAGAAATATTCATAAATGTATACAACCTTTCACGACGAAGCTTTGACTTCTAGAATAGACATTGTCGTCGGTAGCAAATTATTCGATAAATACCTATTTGAAGTACTAATTGATTTTGCAACTCACCCTATTCCTTCATTTCTAGTGAGAAAGTTGTTCAGTCAGACTATTCTAACTTGAACTGCGCGGACAGTGCAAAATATTAAATTAATCCCGCCCAAATGTATGGGATCCGATATCGATGGGAGAAAAACAGTGTGATTCTCAAAAATACATATGTACACAATTGTACCAAGTGAGCATCCTCTGTATCTGTTTGTTTAAATGTTTGGAAAATACCCCGCAATAGAGGAATCACTAATAGAACAGGAAATAAATAAAAAAATAAGGTTACATAAGTAAAATACCTTTCTATTAACTATATCGACATCTACGATAAGGAAAACAATAAACGTACATTGAAAGTAATGTCACTACAATAGTATTGATCATGACTTTAATTAATTGAACACACCCAAGGATGATTATAGCACGTTACATAGTAGGTGTATATTTACATACACCCGATTATAATCTCAATTTTTTAATCAGTTAGGCTCTATTTTAACACGCTTTTTAGCTTGGTATGTATGTCTCTATGTATGTAACTATATTTCGATTCGACCCAACTTCGATGACCCACTTCAAAGCGTCGAATTAAATTGAAACTTCTCACACTTATCAAGGAACGATGAAAATCCAATAATTTGATAAATTTGGCTGACTATTCTGATCAGGAACTTTAGGATTAACGGCTTTTTCCGTACTAACGTGGTATCTTTTGCTAGGTACTAAGAGGCGTGTGCCTCCTTTCTAAGGAGAGGCCTATGTCCAGCAGTGGACTGTTAACGGCTGTTGATGATGACGATGAAGAGGCGTGTGCTGAAGTATATGTGACTTACTTACTTGTTAGTTTTTTAGTCTTAATGAGAAAATAATCATCATTATGAACTAAAAATCGTAGAAGAAGTAAAAAGTAGAAAATATTTTTCTATAAGTTCTAAAGGAAAATTCAGTTTATCGTGAAAGGGCTTGAAATTAAAGTAAATAAAAATAAATAAAATATATCATATTAAAAAAAACTTAAAAACAGGCTTTTGTAACTAGCCGAATTCGCTTTTCGAGATATTTTATAATATTACTTTAATTTTACCAATATCTGTCGATAAAATCAAACACATTAAACAATTGAGATCTGATCTAATCATTTTTACGATAAAATGATTCTTTTAAACTAGTTACAAAAGGCTAGTTACAAAAGCGTGTTTTTTTGTTTTTTTTTAGTTATAATTTATTTATATTATCATCATGAACAGCTTTTATTTGTTTACTGCTGGACATAGACCTCTTCTTAAGAAAGGAGGTTGTGGCCTACTTTAACACGATTTCAAGGGTTACAATGACTACACGGTTCATTATCGAATCGACTACTAAGTTGCTTTTCAAGCCCCACCGAGAACCGGTAGAGTACGTAACCTCCCAAAGAAAAGTCTATAGTATGTATTTGTGTATTTTTTCCGCTCCTAAAATGACTGATTTGCAGAACCTACTCTATTAATAGCAATAGTTTTTAAATCCCAAGCATTTATTTGAAACAATATATCTAATAACCAACATTGTTTTCACGGACGTAACTTGCAACCTGTTAAAAAACTGTATGTGATTTCTTTCAACACGTATTGTAAATGTGCTCTGTTAAGATAAATATAATGATTTTTTTGTTTAGTCACTACCATAAATCATAATATTGAAGATAGACCTACATTCAATACAGAGATAATACAAATATACATCTCTTTTATCTACCAATTTTAGATAACGCAAGATGCAATCACGAAAAATATCAGTCTTTTGTCAATAAAGTTCGTAAAACGACAAAAAAATGTATCAAAAGTGGTTTTTATTAGTTTCTGTGTTGGTTTTAAGTGCAAAATTATGTACAGGACAGGTTCTGCAGTTTGGAACATGTGGCGATGTACCACCTATGCAGTTCTTTGATCTTGAAAGGGTGAGGGTGAGGTTTAAAATATAAAATACGACGTACTTTGCTTTCTAATAATATTTAGAATTCAAGTTTCAGATTCTTCTTGGATTACTTCTTAAGAATAGAATATAATAGTATATAGTAAACGCTAGAAAACACAGGTTTATAAAGTTGCTATACAGTAACTTGTGTTTTTTCGTATCGTATCGTGATCGTTCGCAATTTACACTAGAAGATGATGGTTTCTTTTTTCTATGGGGTTTTTTTCTTCATATTTGAAATGTTTTATTGTTAAACGTAGCATAAGTATTTTATCCAATTATATCTTGTGAGAAATATATATAGACGCATTTGTTAGCGTTCCATGGATTCAGCGAGCGGGTGCCGGGTTCATCGCGTGCTAGATGGGGGAAACACATGCGACTTCGACAGCGCCTGGGAATTGAGACCCAGGTATAGGTTTAGGCAGTACTCCTTGCGACGCGTCAGCGCTCAGCTCCACTGTCTGCTGTGTTACTCCCTCTACCTACCCATAGACCTATTTCTTAGCGCTCCATGGATTCACTGTGCGGGTGCCGGGTCCATCGCGTGATATATGAGGGCAACACATGCGACTTCGACAGCGCCTGGGACTTGCGACCCAGGTATAGGTTTAGGGAGTACTCCTTGCGACGTATCAGCTCTCCCCTCCACTGTCTGCTGTTTTACTCCCTCTATCTAATACTCATACATTATTACACATACATATTTAATGTTAGGAATCAAATATAGGCAAACTTAAAATATATTGACTGCCTCGGTGGTGCAGTGGTAGTGTTTGCGACTGCTGTGCTGAGGTCTTGGGTTCGAATCCCAAATGTTTGTATGATCTGCAAATATTTGTTTAGGAGTTTGGATGTGTTCTATGTATAATATGTATTTATTGACAAAAAAAAAAGTATTCTAACAGTCAATCTAGCTTTCATAGTACAAGCTCTGCTTATTTTGAAACTAGATGGCGTTGTGTGTCAGATGTCCGAAATATTATTATTATTGAAAGTATCAGTCTGGTAAGGCAGGACGACAAAGGAATGGGGATATTGCTTATAGGAACAGATGGTAAGTAGCAGGATCAGAGTCGCAAAACCTATTAATCAAAAATAACCACCTAATAAACATAGTTATCATCATCATCATCAACCGCTTTTAATAGTTCACTGCTGGACATAGGCCTCTCCTTAGAAACGAGGTTTTGGTCTACTATACCACGTGAGCCAGACGGAGCCTAGTCGGCTCTTACGACACCCACGGGATGGATAGGGAGGTGACACTTAATAATAAATTAAAATTAATAAATATAAAAATAATATATTTATAATAAATATATTAAAAAGAATAAATCAATGACTAATACATATCTGAAATGATTAATACATATCTCTAAATATAAATCTAATCTAAACTATTGTATGTTTTAGCTAATGACCAAAACATACCTATATTAATCTTATCTAATTGATTTAGATATAAGTCTGAATTGATAAATTAAACACAAGGTTTTGTACTTGACTGCACGGATGTGGTTTGAGAGGTCACTTGCCGCTTCCTACATCGCTGAGTGTTATGAGTTTGATCCTCACATGGGACAACACTGTGTGATGCACAAATTGTTGTTCTGAGTCTGGGTGGTCTTTGTGTCCATTTCATTTATTTTTGTAACGTCCCCCGCGACACAGGATATTTATTACGGAAGTTGTCTTTTTTAAAAAGAAAACAGGACTTTTGGTCGCATCTAGTTCAAGTACACCTAATATATGAGACCCTGAAGTGCTCGAACTATTGCCAATATTTCTCTATATGAAATCCTTTTGGACGTGAAAGTATTTGTATGTTATAATAATTCAATCAGTATACAACCTTCAACTTTAGATAAAAGTATAAAATAACATTAAAAGCTTATATTTGCCCTAGGGATAGTGGGTTGTTCATCTACAAGCCGTCGATGGCCCGGGGTAATTTGGGGTATCAGGGATGTCCTTCCTAGGGTACACCTGGTTCCCCGGCTACTGGTACGCGAGACGGAGTGCGGTTTTTGGTCGGTTTGAGTCCGACATAACCACCACACTATATTAACAAATTCAAGTCCTTAGTAAAACAAAAACTGCATAAAAATGCTTACTACACGGTTACAGATTATTTTGATGACAAATTTGCTCGGGGTTGATGCTGCTCACTCCCACATCCGAAAGTGATGATCATTTAATTTTTTTGTTTTAATTCGTATTTCGTTAGTTTTCAATTTTTTTAATTTTTTCTTTGAAATTGAATTGTACTCGTATAGTATATTATTTTGTTTTTGTAAGTGTATGCTTGTAATGTTAGATCATATTTTAGTAACTTTCTGGTGGTTTTGAGTGTTTCCACGGCCTACCCAAGTGTTCTGCTGGCGGTAGTGTCGTGTTCTGGTTTGTTGATCCTGACTATATCGGTTAGGCTACATGATGACTGGGGCCCGTATGCCGTCTGTATGGTGGGGCCGACACAAAACTATGGTCCTTTCTTCAAAAGGCCAACCCAGACCCTATACTGCACTCACATAGTTCTCTTTAACATCGTACACGGACTTAAAGAAAAGACACCTCTGTAACTTGCCTTCTGTAAAGCTGTAAAGTCCGACTTGTAATAATGATCATTTTATGCTAAGCAATTTTTCTCACTGTTTTTCACCGAGTCAGCAAAGTTACCGGACACTCTTGCACCCTCATGACCCTACATTCAAGCTATGATTAGTGCAGTAGAGCTGTGTTATACTACTATATATACTAATGTGCCAGAACACTCATAATTTTTTCTTATTTTTTATCTTTCATTTCAGTTTTTAGGTGAATGGTACGAAATAGAACGCTTTCCACATTGGTATGAGCGCTATGGAGAGTGCGCTTACTTACGATTCCAATACTGCGAGCGACGAGTGGAAATAGAACATATTTACGTCAGAACTGGTGTACGATTTATACTACAACAAAACAGTAGCTATGCGCCTGGGGATGAAGCTATTTTTATGATAGATTCAAGTAATATCGGTGAGAACTACATTCGTACTACGCCTAAGTACTTTTACGAAAATTTGAAACTTTCTGATGTCCACAAAATTATTTTGTTCTTTTACAATTGCTGTCTAGATTTATGTGATTGAAAAGGTCAATGAAATCATCCAGTGTCCTTTTCAATCTGAGTGCAGACACACGGATACGCGAGTATGCGTTAGCGTATTTGTACTACAGCAGTCTCAGTGTCGTATTCCCATTAGAAGCCTATGTTATCAATTACTCTAGCTTCCTCGCTCTATCTGTTTCTCTTATTGAATCTAATTCACTTGTTATATCACGTCACAGTGTTATCATATTCTTCTGATGACATCATTAGACTACCGTCCTCTCAATAAAATTCTGGGTCAGCGCAATCTGTATAAGGGTTTTATCCGATTTTCTAGATGGTGGACGGAAATTATAAAAAAACTGTTTTCAATGACAGACCACAAATGAGTATTTGTCAGTTGTTATGGGTAGAAATGGTTTTCCATTGAATAGTGTTTTTATAAAATATTCTTCAATAGTTAAGTCCCTGCTATTGAGTTAATTGAGCTTTATCGTTTAAAGCTGTTTCACCCCTACCGTGAGTTCGAAAAACTTTCGTAAATTATTTTTTTGTCATACAAAGTATACGTGTATGCAAGACGCATATAAACATACATACTAGCATTGAAAGTTAAATAAAAGCTTGTAAAAATCAATAGTATTCAAGATTAATCGAATACAAATTTTATCAAGACAATAAAAATATCATAATCTGTATAATATGCTGTTAAAAGGTGTGGTGATAGGATTTTTATAAACAGATGATAAATAAATATGAGTCATTTAATAAAATGTTAAACCTTTAAAAACAAGGTCTTATCTGTCTGGATACACCTTTCTGTGATTTTGTTAAATTACATTTTAACGCATACTTTTCCGGTTACATCTTAAGGTTTATTCCTACCATTCCACTATTATGAGTTAGTCGCAGTAAACTACGTTATATTACCTATTTACTAACCTACTTACCATTATTCAACTTGACGAAATATGAAGATAAGTTTCAGGTAGATATGCCGGGACTTCCCCTTTTAAACCCAAGCACCCAGTAGGATTACCATTATACTGACAGGTGATTCAATTTATCAACGAGCTTATATATACCTTAAGACATATGATATTACTGAATATCCCAAGATTTGATAGTTCCGTGTAGAGATCAGATTACGAACCCAATATATTATGTTCATTTCGGTTTGTTATTTCTTCTTGTGCTTTGCTATTCTGTGGTGTTTATCAATAGCTATTCTCTTTTCCTACCCAAATAATGAAATGTATATTTATAATATATTTCTGTACCAGCTGTACTAAAGAAATAATCCTATCATTTTTTTATTATTTGTTCTCCCAGAATTTTCCACTATCCACCTAACTTTTACTAGAACAACCTAAAATTCGAACTATATTATTTTGTCTTTAAAAAAATTCTAATCGATCGAATTCATCTATATTAGCCCTTAGCGACTTTCGCGTGGAATTTTCCTTAGTTACTCCTTGTATAGACAGCTACTTGGTAGTAAAATATTATCAATATCGGTCCAGCCGTTTTGAAGATTACCCGAACAGACAGACAGACAAAAAATATTCAAACTGGTTTTTAGGCATAGGTATCGTATAAATAACCGTGTAAGCATGAAAAAACCCCATTCTTTTGACATCACAAACAGACACTTCAATTTTATTTATTTGTCTACTTTCTAAGGAGAGGCCTATGTCCAGCAGTGGACTAGTAAAGGCTGTTGATAATGATGATGATGATGTATAGAAGATCTTTGTATGTCAAATGTAAATAATATCTATCAATCAGTTGTCAGTACAGCAATTTCTACGAATTGAATTATGGTAGAAGTTTAATCAATACCCATTATTATTTCAGATCCCATCGGTATACCGATGTCCGTGTTAAATACAGACTATTCAAACTACGCAGTGGTGTACGGTTGTAAATATAACGAAAATCTAGATATTAAATATCGTAAGTATTAAATTCTTATATTGCCATAACTTTTATTAGGAGATTGTTTATTAAAACATTAGCCTATCCTCAATGTTTCAATCGTTTTTGTGTAAACTATTCTGCTTAAATTGGACCACTTCTGTATTTCTACCAAAATGGCACTATTTGGTATAGTATATTGGCACAAAAAGGAGCGCTACAAAATGGCGGCGTATTAGTGGCGCTGCTAACGCTCCTTTTTTTGTTGCTACTGTAAAAAAATTGTGCCATTTTAGTAGAAATACAGAAGTGGTCCAATTTAAGCGTCGGTTCAATATTGAATACTCTCCCCTACTTTTAGAAGCAGAATAGTTTACACAAAACCGATTGAAACATTGAGAACAACCTAATAACGTAAAATTTTGTAGCACATTACTACAAAAATATTCCAACAAAAAAAAACTTCTTAGCTTCACTGTCTTAAATAAATACAGAAAATAAGTAGGTTTACTTACTCATATTTAGGATCTGGCATTTTATGGAAATAATTTAGAAATATGTAATATCATCAAATTACTTAGGGCATACTGAAAGTTTCTGGATTCTGATAAATAAGACTAGATATAAGACCTACGATACATTTATTGTTTTTCAAAGTATATTCCCTCGCAATTAATACATAAAATTACATTAGCTGAAACCACTGTACAAAGTAGTTGGACCAGTTTTCCTTAGGGACCTCTTCAATCGGGCACGCCGTCATTGCGGCGGTAAGACCCGTTATGGAGGATTGGCTCGAGAGGCGTCACGGGACCCTCTCATACCGATTGACGCAGGTGATCACTGGGAAGGGATGTTTCGGAGATCACCTGTGTCTGATCCGCAAGGAGCCAACGCCTGAGTGCCACCACTGCGATGGCCAGACCGTGGACACGGCTCTCCACACGCTGGCAGAGTGCCCGGCGTGGGTTGAGCAGAGGCGAGACCTCGTGGCGGCCATCGGAGTGGGAGTTCTCTCGCTCGATAGCCTGATTGCGGCTATCGTGCGGAGCGAGAGTGCGTGGAACTCTGCTGTCTCCTTCTGCGAGCAAGTTATGCTCGCGAAGGAGACGGCGGAGCGGGACCGGGAGAGGTTTAGAACTCTCCCGGCCCGCCAGCCCCGGGCACGGGCCAGGCGCAGGCCTGGGGGTGACAGGTGAGGCCATCTGTCACCCTAGCAGAAGCAGGCCGGGGTGGCGGTGAGCGCGTTGCGAAGCGCGCTCGCTTCCAGGGAGCACAGAGAACATGGGGTTCCCACACGGGGGGGGGTCGTCTACTCGTCTGTAGATGACCCGAGGTACGTCGGGGCACCAGGGACTTCCTTTCTAGGGTATACCTGGTTCCCCGGCTATTAGTACCCGGCTAAGGCGTGCGGTTTTAGTCGGTTCGAGTCCGACATGCCACCGACAGGTGGTATCCGAGGGGATTTCCGCACGGAAAAAAAAAAAAAAAAAAAAAAGGGACCTCTTCAATGGCTTCATGAAATACATTCACCGCCAATTCAGGGCTCGTAAAACGTGTGCCTCTAAGTTTGTCTTTAATTTTTTTTAAACAAAAAGAAGACGCATGGTGCGAGGTTCGGCCTATAAGGCGAATGCGTCATCAGTTCCACATTTGTAGCCTTCAAATAGGCTTTTGTTACCTCAGCGGAATGTGAGGATGCGTTATCGTGGTGAAGGAGGACATTGCCTCGAGGACGCTTTACACCAACTTTTGCTAAGACTCTGGGCAAGATGTGTTGACGTACCAATCTTCAGTCACTGTCCTTTGATCTGCAAGTAATGTAGTAATATAGTGTGATGTCCTGATTTGCCGAAAAAAGAAACAACCATTTTTTACCAATGCTTCTTTTCTTAACTTTCGTCGAGAAATCTTCAAAAGCAAAGACCCACTCTGTCGAATGACTTTTTCTTTCGGGTCCAAAGTAATACACCCAGGTTTCGTCACCTGTCACGATATTATAGAGAGCCAATGACTGACCTCCGTTAAGCTTTTTTATCATTTTACGGCAACACTCGATACGCAGTCGTTTCTAGTCCTCCGTTAAGTCAATCGAGTGCAAAGCTTCCGAACTTTTAGATGCACGTGTAACATGTTTTATAGTTGGCTCATTCCAATGCCTAACAAAGCACGAACTTTGAATTTATTTTGTCAGTTTCAATAAGTTATCCTACGGTGTCAATATTAGAGTGTGTATCCGTAGTCCCCGGCCGACCTTTACGTACCTCTTCATGGAGATGTGTCTAAATTCTTAATGCTCCAAACCACGAATGCACAGCTGCGACATGGTGCTTCATCACCAAATGCCAATTAGGTCTCTGGCAACTCTATTGTTGATTTAAGCCACAAAGGAAATCATAAAAAAATAATTGAACGAAATCAATTGTTCACGATTTAAAGTCATTTTGATAGCGACACAAAATTTTCGATAGGACGTCACAAGGAAAAAAAATGTCAGTCTCGCAAATTAAAAAGTAACATGTTTCCAAAGAGTTCCATTTTCAAATTCCATAATTGTTTTTTCATTATTTTATTGTAAGTGGCCAGATCCAGAGACTTTCAGTATGCCTCACATACTTATAAGTACCTACACTAAGTAGGATTATTACATGCTATAATGAAATGAACATTCTGAACTTATGTGTAATCTAATCTACTATTACCCATTACGTGTAAATAGCCTGCCCAGCCTTTTTTTTAAATACATTCATTAAAACTATATCTGTATTAATATCAATTAATCTTATAAAACCCCTTTCACACTACATAATTTTACTCGCAACGTGACTACATTTTCAATCAAACTATCTCGTATCGTGTAAAATTGCCCTATTGTGTTTCCAGTCTTAATTGAGAACTCAGATAAAGATAGCGAATCGAGAAAAGAAAAAATAGACGGTCTGCTGCTTACAGATTACGGCACTGTCAAAACCGGAACCATTTTAGTTGGAAACGTAAAGCAGACATGGTCGTGCTTGCGACGAATGAAAATGAATCGGATGCAGTTATATTGAGAAGTCGATCTAGCTTATTAAAGGTCTGCCAAAGACTGTCAAAGAACGTTTGTCTGAAATGACACAAATTAAAATGATGCAAGACTACATGCGCGTAATTTTAGTGGCATGGATTTGTTTAGGCGATATAAAGTTATGGAGACATACGAGTGTATGGGTAACGGATATGGGTGACATAGGCTCGCCAATCAATTGTCAAATTCATTTGTTAGCCAAGGTACTTAACTAATAGATTCACAAGTATATTTTAATCGTTAAAGAAAACTGGTGAGATGGTGGCAAGTCACTAATATAAAAACACTCTTTCTCACAAACTCTCTGGCTCGAGGCTAGATTGTTAAAGATTTATAAGATTACGCTGCTATTTAAACTTGCAAGAGATTGATAAAAACATACTACGTCAGAATGAAGGAAATCCGAAAAAAACAAATTTAAAATAACTCCGTCATTGAAAAACTTATCCAATCAATTAAAACCTATCGCTGTAACAAGATCAGACTATAATCACTCAAAATGTTAATAATAGTAAAACACCACACTTTTAAAATAATTAAACTACCTTCATCAAAGCATACAAATATAACAAAATTAAGTAATTAATATAACATCACAATTGAATATTGAAAATTTATTTTTAGAATTAAATCGATAATCCTATTTGACTTCGATTGTACCATAGCTAACTATCTTGATTTCACTGAGGACCAACTGAATAAACTTGAGCGTCTGAAAAAAGGGAAAACGTCTGCAAAAGGTTTATAGGCAGGTTATCCAAATTTAAACATATTGTTAAAATTTCTTATTGATTTAATTTAAGAGGCTCCTAATGCCGGCCAATATTCTTGTATTTTTACATAGTCCCTCATCTACATCAAATAATGTTTCTAAGAATACACTTGTACTTTTAGTCACTTCCATAGCACTTAACCGTTTGGCCGGTTAGGTGATACTATTACTAGTAGTATAGTAATATCCAACGCGGTTGATTGAACGCTTATTATATGCTAGCTCCACCCGTGGGTATGGCAGTTATCGCAATAAAATGTAGCTTCTGTTACTCACTGATAGTGATAGTGGTTTAAAGTAATTGTAATGGCGGATTGCACACATGCGCCATGAATTCAGGCCTCCTCTTTTTTTTGAAGTTGGTTTAATATACGTACGTAGAGGGTTCCTTTAAAGCATGGAAGTCAATTTTCCAAGATCTTTTGCCTGTCAGTTCTAATACTCGTTTTTAATCTTCCTAATATTTTTTACATTACAGTTTCAGCATGGATACTATCACGAACTTCAGATCTAAGTGAAGAAATGTTACAAAGAGCGTACCAAGTACTTAACAGCATACCTTACGCTAATATCGCGTATTTAGAAAAAGTAGAACAGAGAACAAACCTCTGCAAATTCCACTGGACAGCCGTAATCGCAGCAGAAAATATAACAGACACAATGAGAACCCAAACAATTTCAGATGACGGTGTTCTTGCTTTGTTATAATATTTTAAAGTTGTAATTATAATTTTAAAGCGTGTATTTATAAAGGTATACTGTAAAATATAGACGTTAATTTTATTACCATTATATGTTAAAGGAACAATTTTTTATTAAAATCTCAAATTAAGTTTAAAGTAATATAAATGTACCCTCTGTTGTCCTCATTAGCGTTAATTATTTTTAGACATTATATAAAACAATCTGTCAGGCCAGCGTGAGCAAGACCAAAACAGTAGTGGACTATGAAAACATGTTGATGATCACATCACATCATCACATCAACAGCATTTGATAATTCACTGTTGGACATGGTCCTCTTCTTAGAGAAGAGGTTTTGGCCTACTATAGACGGCCTGGCTAGACGGGTGGGTATATGGTTTGTTTCAAGTTTTCCTTCTCTTCGCAGTGCTGTTGTCCTGAGTAGTTTGCTCCCTTAATCGGCTCTACGGCACCCACGGAATAAATATCGATGGTGAAACTCCGTATTTGTCACAATACATGGTGGGTTAATGATATAAATCAGATACAAGATTTTGATAAATCTTAACTACTTTTAATGGAAGCAGCAATCGACACAGTGTTGCTTTATTTTAGCCAAATAGTTAGCCATATAATGGATTTTGCATCCGAACTTACATACTCGTACCTTATAAGCATATTTCGTTGCAATCAATAGGTACACCTATTGAACTTAATCATTTGTAGTCATAGAGCAACACATGCTTGTAGCCGACACTTGTGTAAAAAAAAAACAAGCTTTATTTAAATTTACGTTGCCGCAAAAGTTGTACGTAATATGTAGGTACATAGTAAACGTAGAAACAGCTAGCTTATTATAATTCATAATAAATACACTGTGAAAGATTTACGCGACAACTCGCTAAATAAATTTTTGATGGCGTCATCTAGCAATAAAATACGAACAACGCTGAGAATGGAAGCTGAGACATCATACATTAAAGCCACGTCCAGTAATAGGCATCTATTCCATAAATAGCTTTTCCTAATTAATTATTGAAAACATTTTCTTGAAAATGAATTAGTAAGCAAATAAAAAAGCAAACTTACTTGACAACACCGCCGTTACCGGTGCAGGAAAATGATTAAACCTCACTCGTTGAAACACTGACATTCAATGAATAAATGAAATGAAAAGCTATAACTCAAAGGTAGTATAATTAGAGTAATGATTATGTCAACTTACAACGCACGTATGTCCCTGAAAAAACAAATAATTTTAATAACATCATCGGTATTCATTGAACATTCTCGAACATTATTGACATATTTTTATGTCAATATTGGTCGAAATTACACACAAATAAAGAGAAATGGTACTTGTAATCACATAATTACGACTCATTTTCATTTATATATACTTAGAACTGTAGTTAAATAGAGACATAAATCAATAACAGCATGGTAAGGACAGTAGGCCACAATTTAAGCAGGCTCTTTTAGAATTAATCGTTGAGAGCTGATGTGCTAAATTTGCATAATTGAAGTTTTTATGTAGGTTAATAAACTTCTAAAGCTCTACGTTTAACTTATATAATTGCATAGCGGGCAACAACACAATACTTGTCCTGAATCTACATGCGTTAGCTGTAATTCCAAGTATTAATGTCGCCTTTTAATGCCAATCCTTCACAACGGATGCTACTGCCACAATTATAGTAGCCCTGCTATAAAGTTCCCTCAACAAAGATTAAGATACTATTTGCAAACAACAGGATAGCAAAAATATGCATTAATCTACCCTACGCTACCCTTTTGCAATTACGGTATTATACAGTTCTTTGCCTTTAAACATTTTTAAATGGTAAGTTACTGATGACTTTCACATACGTCTAAGTCAAACTAAACGAACAAAGCCGCTATCGAAGTAAGTGAACTTATGTTCATTTTTCCAGCAGTGGACTATTAAATGATGATGTATATTTGTACACAAATCTCGTAATTATTAATTCCTTCAATTAATCTGTCGTTAAAGTTATTGTGGGTGTTTAGACATTTTCACTTTGATTTGGAGTATTTGAGCGTGAATACGGAGTGTCACCACCCCTTTTTATTCTGTGGGTGTCGGGTGCGCAAGACAACAGCACTGCAAAGAGAAGGAAAGCTTGAAACAAACCATATACCAACTCGTCTGGCCACCGTGGTATAGTAGGCCAAAACTTAATTTTTAAGCCTACTTACTGCCTATGTAAAGCAGTAGACTATTAAAAGCTGTTGATGATGATAATAAGGAACGCCAAACCAGCAATCTTGCATGCCAATATCTTTTGATTCTGGTTCACAGGAATGTCAGTACCAAGTTTACGTGGAACTACTTTCACAACGACGTAAGTACCCGAAAAATCTCAAAACAATATCAACCTTATAATATTTTGAATGTCGGTCAAAAAATAAAAATACCTTAATTCATACTTTGTTATTAAATATTTATTACAGTGTTATTAGACATTTTTTTTAAAATCACATTTTGACGGGATATCTAAAAGTCATAGGTTCAGCTTTACGATCTTCATAATATTTTGGAGTACACTTCGAGAGGTCATCTTTTACCAATTTCTTCGGATCCACACCTATCTGTGACAAAGGCTTAATTGCGAGCTCCTTGGAAACGACATTAAAAACAGGCCTTCTTGAAAGAATCCAGACGTAAACTAGAAAGTAAAAGAACGAGGTATTATTCGTTACACATTTTTTTTTTTTTTTTTGTTTAGTAGGTACAGTATTAGTGACCAATGAATACGTACAGGAATTAACGCTATTATGTAATAGATATTAAATTTGTTAGGATTGCCTGACGTTTCGTATGTATCATCATCATCAACAGCCTTTAATAGTCCACTGCTGGACATAAGCCTCTCCTTAGAAAGGAGGTTTTGGCCTACTATACCACGCTGGCCAGATGGGTTGGTATAGGGTTTGTGTCAAGTTTTCCTTCTTTCTGCAGTGCTGTTGTTCTGCGTAGTTTTCTCCCTTAGTCGTCTCTTACGACACCCACGGGATGAATAGGGGTGGTGACACTCTGTATTCTTAATCCGTCACCACACGGTCCAACAAAACCTAATACGTAGTGGCTTGACCGGACTTACACCACGGCCTCACAGAAAACCGGTGTTAAGCACTACTTTCGCTACTTTTATTCGAGTGAGTGACTGAGTTACCGGACCTCAAAATTCCGGTAGGAGCGGAGTCAAAGGGCAACACCAATCTTGTGAAATCGATTGACCAGGGTCGACATAAGCGAAAACTGATTTTGGGGGTCGACGTCTAAATAAATTGACACCTATTAATTAATACAAAGTTCTTATTTGATACTTTTAAGAAACTGTATGAGTATACTGTATAACTGTATAATAATGTCAAGTTTACTCACTTAACCAACCGCAAAGTTTTTAAATTGGTATATATTTTGTATTAATAGCAAAAACAAGAGATAGGATTTTTCAAGTAATTTGGCTATGGAGGTCTGCGTTTCCAAAATGAACTGATAAGTTCATTTTGGAAAAGGGGTTTCTTGCCCGAAATAGTTTGAGAATCCCTGCCCTATACCATAAAAAAGTAGTTGACTGTATGGAGGAACGGGGGTCATGTCCCTCCAACACAAAGGGAGGATCCTCCGACCAGGCGAGGTGATCATGCCTGGTGGGCCGCGGCCCAATGGTTGATATTGAGAAGTTGTATATATGCTAATCGGCGAGAGAATTCTTCATATCGCGATACAGGATTAGCAATTCTCATTGAGGAGTTACTCCTTAGTTCGGGATGTCTTCGTTAGATAGAGCTGCAGTATGTTTCTTTGTTTCATCGTATGTGGAAAACATGAGTAGCCGATAGAGAGAATATTTCTAGTAATACACTCTCATCACACATTGTATTTATAATTAACTCAACTCAAAATATCTTTATTTCATAAAATTGTTTGAAATCGTCTCTTATGTAGAATCTAAAGTAATAGATGCACAATAGCAAATTTGACAAATATTAATAAAAAATAGCAAAATAAATATATACGTATCAAAAAACTATTATATGCCTGTGCCGATCCACAACTGACCGTTTCCAAGGGGTTTAGCCTTATGAGAAAAAAGGGCAAACAAACTCACGGTCTAGTATAATTAGCCCTTAACAGTAGATATGCACAGTTTATAATAAATCTTACCTACCAAATTTGGCCTAAGCTTAGTTAAATTTGAATTAACAATGGATTGATTAAGAATTCATAACCTTAGCCATTGAATTAAGTCTATCGTTACATTGATATTCAAAAAGATTTCTAAAACGTAAAAGGACAAAGATACGAAATAAAAATATACAAGTTAACTAATGGATTTATCATAATTTCATTGATCTTATCTTCACACAATCTGTAAGAAAATCTTAAATTCAATTAGCAAAATTCTATTTAAACTTAATTGATACGTAAGTTTTCAAGGGAAATTGAATATTCTAATTAATGTTACGTTTATAATCATATCCGTATTCACTGAATTTATATCAATGATGGTCACGGATAAAGGACAAATGAAACTTATCAAATTATTTCAGAAATATCAATTGGGAATAAATTAATACTTGCTTGACAACCAACGCCTATGGACACCTTCAATCAAGAGTCAAGTACGTGTCCAACATTTTCCGCTGTTTTCTTGGAGATCCCAACATACGACTAACGAATTATTATTTTTCAGAAATTAGTTTTGCTTGTATGTGAAACACTAAGTTTCTTGAAAAGCGCATAGTGGTAAACTTAAGTCAGGTACTAATTTTAATAATTGTGAACATAGGTAAAATAATCAGATAATATAAAAATACCTTCACACACTTACACACGGCAGTCTAATGCCAAACTAGGCAGAGGCTGTACTATGGTAACCATGGACTGTTAATAAACATACTTATATATTTCTAAATACATACAAATTATAGATATAGGATGGAAATCTTGTCGCGTGGAATGATGGCAGAAAGCTGTAGCAGAGCTACATATTTATGACATGCTACAGGATCTGACAAATCCTGTCAAAAGTCGAGAGAGATTGAGAATTTGTACCTTATTAAGTTTTAAATGGAGTAGGTCGAGTGTAATGTGTGGTGTGTTCAATCTGTTTAACATAAGAAGCTTCCTTGATACTAATTGGGCCTTAATCTCGAAGATACCATAAAACTGCATTTTGCTTTATATCTATGCTAGCTTCGGTGCTAGCTGCGACAATGTGTTTGCAAAAGAAGTGCTCTCTACCACAAACGATACATTTTATACACCTTGTACCTACATCCTGTACACCTTAGAGTTTTAAATAATTTTTGATATAAATATATAACCGCTCCCTCCTCTAAACTCTAAACAGCCGTTAATTGCTCTGTGAGAACCCATCTATTAGATATGAAAATATCGAACTATTCAACATAGTAAACGCAAGCTAGTAATTGAAAACTAAAATAACTTCATATAATACAGTGAGAGTCCTCAATTTGGAGTCCTGTACTGGCATCAATTTCAACTTAGCTATCCAAGTTTAACAATGGCCTTATTCTTCTTATCATGGAAGAAGGCAGATATTATTTCACATTGAATTACAGCAAGAGCATCCTGAACTAGGTGTAATTCCAAATATTGTCTATGTTGATGTTGTCATCTTTCATTGGTTAATCAATTGGCCTCGTGTGTTATGTTCTATTTTCAATTAAAAAGAAGGAAACTCACTGAAATGCTTATCGATGGCCGGACTATACTCGCAAGTGTACACACTGGCATAGTTATTGTAGTCGGTACGTAACACTCGGAATGGATATCTTCTGTTTTCCACTGAAATTAATAACAAAAGATGTCCTTTAATTGACATGTCTTAAATGATATTGTAGTTGAGATCACGAGAGGTTAGACTTGTCTCTCTCGAGAAGAACGTATAAGAAGTGACCTTCCCATCTTTCTTCCAGAAATTGGGTTGCAAATTACTCTGCCTTAACACCTCCAGTATATATGAATGATTTTTATAGACATGATTACTCGTATATTTTTTGGGGTTGAATTAAAACGTAAAAGTTATTTTTTTAAAAGACAATTCTCGTACCATATATAACATATCCTGTGTCGCGGGGTACTATAAAAACATTCATGAAACAGACACAAAGTACATTTTGACTCAAAACAACAATTTGTGGATCACACAAAGAATTGTCCCATGTGGTGAATGATCCCACAAAAATCGCCATTACACAAAACAACAAAACTAATCTATACTTACATCTTCTAGGCTGATCCTTGAAATAAAATGTTACATCCAAATTCGCAGCATCTTCTATACTTGTAGGTATCTCGAGTCTTCCTATACTGTATCTATGAAATAGTCCACGGTCTACCCTGGATTGGTTCAAGTAAATACCGACGGAACTGGTGGACAGTTCAAGAACCGAGCAGTTGTTCAGCTGTTGACCGTCGCTGGAGTAATGGTAGACTTGGTACCATTTGTTGAAGAACTGTAAAAAATGAAGCATTATGCTAGTATATTTTGTGGAATCCTATTTCCAAAACAAGGAACTGTTGCATTTATATCAGCTCTTGAAAAAAAGTCCGAGTAGAATGTATTTTCTGATAATATTCTACTATAAAACAGTTGTCAGGTGTCTATCGAAAATGAAATGGAAAAACTGTTAAGAAGCTAGAAGCCAATGAAGTAAATAAGAACGTTTTATATCCTTCACTACTTCTATTAGTTTCTTAATAAAACACTTCTTATTAAAACACCTGCAGGGTACTGCAGCAAAAATAGAGAAACGAAAAACACATAGAGCTAAACTAAAGCGAGGTACTAATTTTAATAACTGTAAATATAGGTAATAATAAGATAATTCACACACTAACACATGGCAGTCTAATGCCAAACTAGGCGGAGCCTGTGCTATGGTAACCAGACTTGTAATAAACATAGTGATATATTACTAAATACATACATATTATGGATAAATTAGACCCAAACACAAAAAAAGTGATTGTGCTCATCACACAATTATCTGTTAGGTGGGAATCAAATCCAATCCTCCGGCTTAGCCTTCAGGGTCACTAACCATTAGACCAAGAGGACCTTCGAGTACTCAGTGTCAGTGTTGAGCACTGTGAGAACAAAACCAAAGAATCACTGTAAAAACAGAGAGTTGAGTTGTAGTTCATCAACAAATTGACCAATTGCGGTATATATTTTATTTTTAGTTCTTAATGCAGATAAAATAATAACATTGTGCAGTTTGAAATTAAATATTTGCACAGCATATGTAAGGGTAGAATGTAAAGTGCTTGCAAAAAATGTAAAATGTAAAGTTTTTGCAAAGCAAATATAAATAGTACATTTACATAAACAAACAATACTAACATCAGCTAGCCTAAACTCCGTCTGAAGCTGAACATTTTCTGGGCATTTTCCAGGCAAAGTAAAGTACCCAAATGTACTACACACACACAAAAATAAAACAGAGAATATTGACTTTAACATTTTCTCACTCTCTCGTCTAACAATTTGACTGATCTCCACAAAGACAGAGTGTCAAATACATATCAATAATATGTTTAATATACTTACCTATTGCTCAGTTAGTCTAAGGTTATCAAAAGTTCATTAATATTGTTGTTGCTTTCATAATAAAAACGTATTCTAAGAATAAATAAATAACATAATAAAGAGTATTCTGAGTATTAAATAATTATGTTGGTACTTTTGTGTTTCTAATTCATTGATGTGATAGTGATTTAACTCCGACATGCTCCACTGCCGATGACGCGGTGGTTTCTGGCCTAAAAAAAATCTTAAAAAAAGTGGCATTGCAAGGTTTAGCGTAAATAACTAGTTAACAAAACAAGATTATCATATGCATTGTTTGACAATTTGCAATTCCAATCTCTTCTTTAGCGTATGTACCGATGCTAATAAACATTAAAACTAATTAAAAATAGTAGTTTATAATATAATGAAGACAATGTATCACATCACATCATCACACATCAACAGCCTATACTAGTCCACTGCTGGACATAGGCCTCTCCTTAGAAAGGAGGTTTTGGCCTACTATACCACGCTGGCCAGACGAGTTGGTATAGGGTTTGTTTCAAGTTTTTCTTCTCTTTGCAGTGCTGTTGTCCTGCTTAGTTTGCTCCCTTAGTCGGCTCTTACGACACCCACGGGAAGAATTGGGATGGTGACAATTTGTATTCTTAATCCGTCACCACACGGACAATGACAATGTATATGATACCTAAAAATATGGTACCTACCTAAAATTCTAAATTCTTATCAGATAAAATAGTTACTTTATAAATAAATTGCAAACCAACCTTACTTAAAAAACCTAAGAAATTACCTCCTAACGCAAATAGAATCGACGACCGAATGGCGTAGTAGTTTGTGTAACGGACTACTATTCCAAAGGTCGCGGGTTCGATTCCCGCTCAAGTCAAACATTTGTGTGCATGAACATTTAATATTTGATTTGGTCTGGGTGTTTCTATGTATAATATTGTATGTATGTATTTAAAAAAAAGTAAATATGTAATTATATCAGTTGTCTAGCACCTACAGTACAAGCTCTGCTTAGTTTGGGACTAGATGGCGTTGTGTGAATGTGGTAGAATATTATTATTATAATAATTCTACTATATACTCATAAGCACATACTAGATTAGATAGATAATACACATTAAAGACGAACAAAGCGAACTCCCTTTTTGATAAAAACCTCTAAGATTTAAGCAAGTCGTTTGAGTCAAAAATCAATAAGGGGAAAAAGATAAAATTAAATGTAGAAATTAATCCCAATCGATATGAACACTTAAATAATAAGCTTATCCTTTTATTCTGAAGTCTTTGATAAGTATATTAAATTCTACAAACTCTTTCTGTTTACCAACATCTCTTCTCCGAACCTGTAATCTGTTAATAATTTAAGTTGTCAATATCAGGTTGACCCTTGATCTTATATTGTGTTGGCCATATTTTTATGAGAATATATTATAAAACCAAAAACTGGTGATAAACCGCAGATTTTTGCGTTCGAATTAGTTCGATGCCGATGGTCAAAATCCTTGGTTAGTGATAAGTTTTACCAAAGTATGACTCGATTTTAATAAATTACGAAATTAATTTGATAAGCAGTACGTGATTGAAATACATACTTGGCGATTATTCGAGTTATATAATTTAAATAGTGACTAATAGGCGGCAAAGGGTAAATCACGGCAAAATTTTTGATTTCGGGTTTTATGAAGTCTTTTGCCATCTATTGAATTGGTAATGGTAGGAACAAGATATAATCCCCCCCCAACTGTATCCTCACGTTGTCATCGTGGGGGGCCTTGCGCGGGTCAATGATCTTTGAGGCTCTCATGCCGAATTGCCTCAGAGGGAGACTCCAGACTTAGAAGGATACCCGGTGGGCCCTTCTTGGGTCACCGATACCGGGACTGGATCTCAACTCTTTGCACATCGTGATCACAGGAGGAGTGGCGTTGTTATGTAAACACTGTCCCGGCGGGCAGGATTTCTTTCTGCAAACCATGGCGCAGTAGTCGATCGGTGTTGCCCGTAGCCACGAAGCCCTATTATATTCCTCCCTGTCCAAATTGGTTGGGTGACCGGGACACTGTGCCGCTGTGGCAGTAGTCGGCTCCAGCTCATTGCCCGCCCCAGTGCCCTTGTCGCTAAGAGACAAGGGCACTGGATATGTTGTCGCCGAGTGGGAGGATTCACCATATATGGTGTTTATTTCTCACCCAACCGGAGTTTGAGCGATTGCGAGGTTTTCCTCAACAACCTGGAGACCTCAATGCTGCGAGTAGCGTCTGGGCACCTCCCTGTTCTGGGGTACCTCAACGCAAAATCCACTGCGTGGGGTTCCCCCAAGACGGACGCAAGGGGCGAGGCCGTTGAGGAGTGGGTGGCCTCGGTGGGCCGCTGTCTCTTAAACCGAGGCTCCACCAACACGTGCGTGCGATAGCAGTGGGGGTCGATAGTGGACCTTTCGTTGGCTACCCATGCCCTCCCCGCAATCGGCCTCGGCCCTCTTATTTCATGGGCCTCGTCGTGGTCCCCCCTGGCGCTACAATCGTTGTTAACTCGGTCCTCGTACCGATACTTCATCTGGGCTTGATCCTCGACCTCGACAGTATAATCGTACGTTAAGTGCAATTTCAGATGAAATAGGGGTCTGCCGAATCATGTTCGGCTATTTGGCAATAAAACTCGTTATTCAACTCACATTGGGGCATAGTATTTTATTCAGCTCGAATTCATCATAGCATTTGGTCGTTTGGTAATACCAGTATAGATTTTCACAATAAAAACATTTGTTCATAATATGTGTAGATAGCTACTGGCGCAAAAATAGTTAAGCATATATTTGTTTACATCCTACGTAACCAGGTATTCAGATATGCGTAACTTTAAAACAAACGATCATCACCTACTCTAGATGGTTTAAACTCCGTTTTGGTAATAAATCAGACAAAGGATGTCCACATTACAAGCCTTACGACGTGGTCAATTTAGTCTATTTCAGTGTAAAACGTCTTTATAACCCCACATTGAATAATTACACTGTAGGATGTGCGCATCATTCGTAATCTCGTCTCAGCGCGGTCCAGTTGTGACAATATGATATTTTTTTTATTCTGTCTCTGTCTTGTCGGAGTTTTCGCAGCGGACTATACCTTGCCGGGTGTCTGTCCAAATGTAAAAGTTCAGGAGAATTTAGACTACACTAAGGTATGTATCTATAATGAAGTACATTTTGTACATCACGTAACCTTCATTGATATATTTTTAAAATAATCTTATTCATTACGAGTATAATAAAAAGAAGAATTGAAAATTATCTTCTTCTATGTATTCAAATTTACCTGTTTCAATTTATGGCTAGAATGAATAATCTTTAGGTCTTTTTGATTTTAAGAAACCAGTGACAAATGTTTTGCGGCCATAGTGATTTCATACGAGGTATTTATTTATTTATTAACTCTAATCCGATACGGATAATAAGCTAACTTTGATAAAATACAAATGTACATAGTTGTGCCAAATAAGATAATTGGACATTCCCATGATAAGGTTATTGTGGCTTTATTGAATTGAGAATTTTTGGAACTTTAACTAATAAAAGAAATGTAAAAGATGAATCACAATTTCTAATATATTGAATAACTGAACGGAGTCATGGATCACTGGTGATTCCCACTCATGGTCGTTATTGGTGCTGATGTTGGCTGAGTAGCACACCGTGTGGTTTTAGTCGATCCAATTCCGACTCACCACCCCGCCGTACAGCTCGGTGGGATGAAGTGGCGAGGGGGTTTCCATACGTAAAAAAATGACCATTCAGCGGGGGAACACAGCTAGCGCTTTGCGCCGGAAGCGGCCAGGAGTGGGTTATTTATTATATAAATAATTTTATTTGTATGTAATATATCCTAAATATGTGTCAAATCATAATAACAACATAATTTATTTAAGAATAATCACACAAAACGTTAAGTTTTGCGTACAGTTTTTCTTACAAACGGATACCGATTTTCTAGCGTTTGTCACGAGGTATCACAAATGAGTCATTGTTCATACTAAAAGTATTAAGATTATTCATACTAAGAGTAAGGTTAGAATATTGGATTAACTGCAAAGAATCTCATACAAGGTCAAACAATTACTACTGTAGACAATCAGGATGTTATAGCTTATGTCTACAAGCTTAATACAACTTACTATGCGAATTTTAAAGCACATGTGACGTCAACTTTGGAGTTTCAATGTATGTATTATATATGTTAATTTTTCTTACAACTAAAGATAAAAAATTAAACAGTTCATTGAATAAACAGTTAATTAATTGGTAACTGTGGAGACTATAATTATTTAACCATAAATTTTTAACACTTGTGATTAATTGATATTAATTAGAACAATTGTGTACAGTTAAATTAAAAGTTGTTGCGTATTTAAATTTTATATAATGTTATCAAGAATTTTATTATATGGAGGAAGGAGTGTAATGTCCTTAAAAAGAGAGGATTCTCCGACCAGCCGAGGTGATCAGGCCTGGCGAGCTGCGATTGACGTTGGGAAGTTGTATATATACTCGTACTAAACTAACTTTTGCTTGCGGCTCCACCCGAGTATATAGCAGTTATTACGGTAAAAGCCTATGGCCCTTTATCAAGAACCAAACCATCTCCGTGACTCCGTTCAGTGGCTATTGATTCCTCATACAAACTTCGCCCCCCATTTTCACCCCCTTAAAGGATGACTTCTGGGATAAGAAATATCCTATGTCGTTTCTTGGGACTTTGAGTCTATAGCAAATGTCACCTAAACCGGTTTATCGGATCCCGCAGTCCGAGACACAACTTCATCGCCGACGGTCGTTTGCGCCTTTGCGTTAGTTTTATTTTCATATATGCTATGTTTCTGTTTATGTTTAATTTGATAATCTTAGGATGATAAATGTTTATAAAAATTATTAGAAAAAGTGTCAAGGGTGTTAGTCTAGTTCAACTAAACATACAAACACAGGAATCTTATTTCCTGCTCACCCACACATTACAAAAATAAACTTATAATCATATTAACGATGTACATTTCTAGATTATATTAATTTTATCATGTTTGACAATACTATATATGGATCGATAATATTTCTAATAAAAATTAATCGCTAATAATCCCTTGTTACTAATCTACAAGGTATTTACTCAATCGGACTCAGTAAAAAGTCCCTTAGTTTTAGTTGTGTTACTATTCTTGCCTCGGTTGTGCCGAGTTGGACAATGCTAAGTGGATACAAAATCAAAAAACGAAAACAATTGAAAAGCAAACGTTTGATAAGGTATAATATAGTCGATGTCTCGTTAGTATTACTTCTTTGGCATGGTTAGCAGAAATGGAAATATTTAAATCTTTGCCACGTCACGTTCTTTATTAATATTGCATTTAAGGATAATTACCAACGATAAATTATATTTAAAAAGTAAAGTATTACTGAGAACGAATATTCACCCATATTCGTCAATAAAACTTACTGATAAGAAAAGAATAAGTAGTTGTATTATTTAAAAACATACAAAAGAATCGTACTAATTAGAAATTGATATTATTCGAATATAAATAATGCTAAAAGGAATTAGTAATACTAAATGAAGCATAAGCTGCCGTTGCTGTTGGGGAGGGCTCAAACAGTGATAACACGGCCTCATAAAAAACCGGTGCTAAGTAATTTTTTTGAGGTCTTCCAATTGGCCGTAACGAATTTGTGTCTGTTAATCGGAATTACGATATCCATAAGCGGCAGCAGTCATTTACTATCAAGTCCTGTCTAGTCATTATCATCAACAGCTTTTACTAGTCCACTAATGGATATAGGCCTCTCTTTAGAAAGGAGGTTTTGGCCTACCACCCTGGCCAGGCGGGTTGGTATAGGTGTCAAGTTTTCCTTCTCTTTGCAGTGCTGTTGTCCTTCGTAGTTTGCTCCCTGAGCGGCTCTTACGACATGACGGGATGAATAGGGGTGGTGACACTCTGTATTTTTAATCTGTCACTACAAAGACACGTGTTTAGTCGTTTGCCCCTATACCATAAAAAAGCAAGTTTTATTTTTAATTTTTTAATGTTAAAATTAGTTTTCAGGCATTTGGCATCATGTTGCCGCCTACGCAAGCGATGGCCGAGAAATTTACGATTGTGCCATCCTTGATTTCCAAGAAGACAACCTGGGGTACACTTTGAGGGAAACTTACGTAGATCTTGACGATGGGAACAGGACTCAGAAGTCGTACTTCGCTAGGGTAGATCCTACTTTTGATGCTGGGAATAGCGCTCAGTTTATTGTCAGTCATGAGGCTGGAGGTAAGAATATTTTTATTCAAAGAAAGACTCTGGACAAAGGGGATTACTTATTAGTTATCTAAGATATTTTTCTTTGTAAGGTAAGTTTACTTATTGAGATAAGTCAAACAATTACGACAAAACAAGAACAATTTTATCTACATATACATTATATTTATGAGCTCATTAAGGCAAAGGAAGAATAGTCAGCTGTAATTAAAGAGTAAATTATGAAAAAAAAAAGACAAGTAATCGTAAAAAAAGTTAGTAAATGTTCGCTTTTGCCCCCGTTTTATACGGAATGTCACTACCCCAATTCATCCCGTGGGTGTCGTAAGAGGCGACTAAGGGCGCAAAACAACGCAGGACGCCAGCACTGCAAAAAGAAGGAAAACTTGATACAATCCCTATACCAACCCGTCTGGCCAGCGTGGTATAGTAGGCCAAAACCTCCTTTCTAAGGAGAGGCCTATGTCCAGCAGTAGACTATTAAAGGCTGTTGATGATGATGATGATGATTAGCTAGCATGTATATCGGTAATCTATGTTACTCGCTTGACTACTGGTTAGGCGTTTTCACGCCTAAACCAGTAAACCGGTTTTAGAAATAATAAACAAACAAACTTACATTCACATTTATAAATATGGATAACATATTATTAGAGAGAAAGAGAGAGAAAGAGCAATTTGCGCCCTAATACACGATTATCCGCCTTCCGCAATCAATTCATCCCAGTTAGCCAGTCCTTCTGGCTGGGGGCCTCCGCCATTCTATTTTATGCTTTGCGATCTTCACTTTGAAACTCTTTTGCCCCAACGGCAATAGGTCCTTCGGCAGACGTGAACAGCCCATTGCCATTTTAGCGTGCTTATTCTTCCAATTTCTTTTTCTATAAAAATTCAAATGCATAAATAATGGGTTTTTGACTTGTAATTACTTATTGCGTTAGTTGATAATTATTCCACTTACTTTTTTAAATTTCAGATAAAGTATTGCAGTTCCCATTCATGATCCTGTCTACAGACTATGATGAATACGCTATTGCTTACTTCTGCAAATGGCTAAAAGAAAAAGAAAGAAAACACTATGGTAAGGAAGTTCGCAATGTTTGACATTCAAACATTAAAATTACAAGACGTAGAAACCAACCTTTTTAAGTTGAATGTTTACACTTAACTTTATTCTGACTCAACTAATCCACGTGTGCAAAAGCTTAAATAAAATAATTCGTTCTAGCCAGTGTTTTAAGATTTAATGAAACTGTTTCTTCGAACCAAATCAAATTATAACTCAAGATAACAGAAAGAAATCTATAAAAACATAAGAAATAATTAGTACGTTCGATTGCGTTTATGTCTAACATGAGAATGTTGAAACGAGTTCAGAATATATTATAGATCCTCGTTTACTCGAAGACGGCTAAGCCGTAACCACATAAATGGAAAACTTCTCACTTAAAGAAGAATATAGCTTGTTTGAGTTTGGCTTAGACGTATTGGCAAATCGGTTAGAATTTGTTTCTTTCTTTTAAAAAAAGACAACTCTCACATAAGAAACGGGGGACTTTACAAACATACATGAAACGGACACAAAGAACACCCAGACTCAGAACAACAATTTGTGAATCACACAAAGTGTCGGATCGGACCCACAACACTCCTAGTAGTGAGCGGCGTGGCGACCGCTTAAACCACTACATCATCCGTGCAGAGTCTTTAAAACTATGGGCCATTTGATAGTGCCTGACGATCCGTACACCAGTTGCTGATCTTATTGCATGACACACAATCAGTAGTTACTTGATATTTCACTATGTCTTTGTTAGATAGTATTGAAGTAAATATCATCGTTGTACCTATGTGGAAGTCGCCATCTGTAAATTCAGATATGATACATACAATCTTTCTTTGCTTTTCATCAAGTGAGTTAGTGAGTTAGTTGTATCTCTTGACTTGCAGGTGTACAACGGCAGTGGGCGTAATTTACAATCAGTTGACAGGTCTATTCGTTTGCCCCCTGTGCTTACTATATAAAAAATTCTTATTTAAAACTTAGCAACTATATGAGACTTTAATTTATATTATTTTTTATTAACAGTTTTCACCTGGATTCTCACACGCAGTAAGGAAAAGCTCCAAGGTGATACTCTTAAGAAGGTGGAAGATACTCTTTCCAAGTACACAGAACTTGCTGAGCATAGACAAGCATTTGTCTTCAAAGAGTTTAACGATGCAACCTGTTCATTTACAAAGAAGTTTGAATCTGATTTCTTTACTAGTAATTTCTGGTAATCTGATAGAAAATCTTGATATTATTGACTGTGATTAGATAATTAAATATTTTGTAATAGTCATCATGTTTTATTTCTGCATCTTCATACGCTGTCTTTTAAGCGAGTTAAAACAACAATTCAATTCTCTTTTTTCGACCCTGTTCTTAATTGTTTTGGGGTCTGCACAATAATTAACATAGCAAACAGTTTTGAGTTGGTTTCTTTTAAAATATGAGAACAATTGCAAAACATAGTTGTGTGGTAAAACAACAAATTAACAACTTTCTAAGGTTTTTTTTTAGTTTGCTGTTTGCCTAATAATACGAGGATTTTAGGTCAATAGGAAGATATAGTTTTTGGTTCACCTGCCTGCAATAGAGATTAAAATATAAAAAAACGTCTTTTTTATGAACTTACAAGTTATAGCGATCCCTTGACCACGTGTTTGAGTTCCTGACAAAAATCATAACAGACGAACAAACAAACATAAAGGTTTCAAGTAGATAGTCAGACAGGCATTTTTTTTATTAAAAAGACCTCCCGTACTAGGAATATATCCTGTGTCGCGGGGGACTTTACAAATATACATGAAACGGACACAACAAACAACAAAGTGTCGGATCGGACCCACAGCACTCAGCCTAGTAGTGAGCGGCGTGGCGACCGCTTAAACCACTACGCCATCTGTGCAGTCAAGGTTCTTTTATGGCTATTAAAGGACGGAACCCTAAAAACTAATATGTAATCAACTAAAATGTTCTCGAATATTTATTTAGTACCCACTATCTAATATGCTTTATTTATCTTACTTATAAGTTCGATTATCATTATTATCACAATACTGTAAGATAAAAGTTTTTTAACTATTATTGTGCAATACACGGTGACGTCAAAGGCGATAATCATTAATTATATCGTAAGGATCTTAATTATTTATTTTCTTTAGCATACTTTTCCTTAATTAACCTACTGAACTGAATTGAACGGGTTCCGTGGAGAACTTTCGATAAACGTTCCATAATTGGCTATCCTAAAAAGCGATAAAATGAACAGGGAAAACTGTTTTTATTCTGGATTTTGCAGTTGTATGCTTATGTACAGTTTTCTGCTCACATAATTGTTCGAGTTAAGTTTAACACGTCAATATAATAATAGAAGGTACCCATCGATGTAATAAATTATACGTAAGTAGTTTCAAAAAACAAGCTTTTGTAACTAGCCGTACTAAAACGTAGAAAATTGTTTTTTATGAGTTTAAAAATAAAAATCATTTTGTCGTAAAAAAACGTAGGGTGCTTGCTATATTGATCTTAATTGCCGTAAAAATATTCACTGACAGATATTGGTAAAAGTAAAGTTTTTTTATTAAAAATATCTTGAAAAATAGTTACAAAGTCATAGACACAAAAGCGTGTTTTTAAACTAATTTATTTTGCTTTTTTAGTAATTACTGATGATTATTTCCTGATTAGGACTTGAAAAGTAAAAAGTATGCCAAATGGTTCAGCATAAGCCTTATAGTACGTTGCAAAAGTCACTACCGTATTTTTAGGCATGGAAAAAGTCGTTAATCCTGAAGATGCTGATCAGGATAATCGGCCAAATTTATCAATATTAGTGTATTGTCATCGGACCTTGATAATTGTGTGAAGATTCATTTTAATTCGACTTTTAGAAGTGGGTCAAAATCATGTTCGGAGATTTCGTTACATGCATACACACATACATACATTACTATACTAATAAAAGCGTGTTAAAAAGAAAATTAGTGATTAATAAAAAAAACGTAAAAAGGCTAGTCGTGCTAGAAGTCAATTGTTGTAAATAATTCATTTACTGATATTGGTAAAATTAAAGTTCACCTCAGGCTCCCTCTATTTTTCTTTTTGAACTTATTGAAAATTATTTTCTACTTTTTAGTTCGACTAGTTTGTAAACACGCTTTTGTAACTACAAAAGCGTGTTTTTCTGAGTCTTTCCTAAACTATTATTTTTTACTACTAGAGAAGTACACTTTTTACACGCAGCAACGCACGTGTAATTCTTGACCATCAGGTGACTCGTCTACTCGTCTACGGAAATAGTGACGTCAGAATGCAACACAACAGTGGGATGATATATATATATCAGTGAGTAAGAGATATCTCACTCACGGCGATCTCTTACAGACAACTGTTCTACTGATTTCGAAAAATTTAAATTAAGTTAGCCTGCAATGTACTATTACAATACATTGAAAATAATGATATATTTAAATAAATAACGATAAAAATGATCTCAATCACCATACCTACTTTCTGTACTCTAAATCGATTACCATCTTGTTTTTTTTTAACTGTACTAATCAGAGGGACAAACAACAAAAAAAAGTGTCTTGAAATATAGGCTCATCTAGCCACGGTCAGACTACATGGTCTGTATGTGAATAAGTCAAGTAAAATGACCTTTATAAGACTTTGTTACATTAAAACCGTTTTTACTCATAAACCAGACAAAGGATAATCACATTAAACGTTGTCAACTCAGTTAACTTCAGCATAAACTGTCTTTATTATTCCTTATTGGATAATAAGACCATAGGACGTGCGCATCAGTCATAAGTCTGCGTCTTTTGGATGCAGTTGTTTGAATAGGATGTATTTTTTAATACTTTTTTGTTTTGCTGGAGTTTACGGAGCAGATTTCACTCTACCAGGTGTTTGCCCGAATGTAACATTGCAAAAAAACTTTGACTATAATAGGGTAAGTCAGCAACCTAACCTGTTATTATACGAGAACATTTTTGTCCTATTGTATGTGCCTTTGTCATGCATGAGATCCAATACTAAAAAACTGATTTTAAAAATCCTTTAAACTAAAGCAAGCTATATTATGAGCAAATAATATAGACTACAATGAATTTCCAACAAATTTCATATCCGAAAGTTTACAAAGCTGAAAGTATGTCTTACCTATCACGGCTGTATTACAATAACCACTAGTTATATAGTTACCATTACTTACACTAGTTATAGTTAACCACTAGTTATTAGTTTGCCTAAATTAGTAGAATCGAAAGATAATGGCACAAACATGAATCTTAATAATCACATCACATCATCAGCCTTTTATAGTCCACTGCTGGACATAGGCCTCTCCTTAGAAAGGAGTTTTTGGCCTACTATACCACGCTGGCCAGACGGGTTGGTATAGGGTTTGTGTCTAATTTACCCTTCCCTTTGCAGTGCTGTTGTCCTGCGTAGTTTGTTTCCTTAGTCGGCTCTTACGACACCCACGGGATAAACAGGGGTGGCGACACCCCGTATTCTTAATTCGCCACCACACTGACAATCATTATCTTTATTAAAGATAAACTCGCGAATATCTGCAGGTAGTCAGATTTATATTTTATAGCTTATAGTCTAGCTATAAAATATACTAAACATAAAGCTACTAAAATTAGGAGAATAAACACAGCTGAACTGGGAGAAACTATGGAAATGTTATGCAATAAATAATAGAACTTTGATTTCGTTAATCCTTGAAGCCATCTAATCGTATCGTTCTGTTTATCATTAACAGTTTTTTATAATTATATGAATGTTTTGGAGCATTTAATCTTATTTAATAACAACAGATAATATGCCACATTCTTGTATATTGTTTTAAAGACTCATATCGATATTCATGAATCACATCAACAGCCTTTCTTTAAATAGTCCACTGCTGGACATAGGCGTCTCCTTAGAAGGAGGTTTTGGCCTACTATATATTATAATGAAATGTTATGTTGTATGTTGTATGTATGTTATGTTATATTTCATGATATCATAATAAAGAAGAATTTTAAAGTTATAATGCACAGAGTAGAGATTAAAGCAAGAGAGAGATTCGAGAAGGGCTCTTTTGTGTATTGCGTTACGTTGTAATTTTCTTTATTTCTCTTATTCTAATTATTTTAATAACATCAAAATTTGGTCCTAATCAGGATTGGTAGTATGGAAAATTTTCAAATTTATCAAGTTAAAAAATCGTAGATTTATCTCAAATGCCATTCTCCTTTCTCGGAAAGAAAAAAGTAGATTAAAAAATTAACTTAAGTACATGTATATGTTTGAAAAGTTTTTATAGCGATAGAAAACACTAAAAACCTGCCAAAAATTTAAAATAGGAATAAAATTAATTCGCCTCTAGAAAAGCATTAAAACATTTATTTCTGCCTACTAATAAATCTTCAAATTAGTTTTCAGGTGTATGGCATAATGTGGGTGGTTATGCAAGCGATGGCGAACACATCCACGACTGTGCTACTCTTGATTTACAGAAAGTTGATCACGGATATACCTTAAGAGAGACCTATGTTGTACTCGAGGAAAGGAAAAGAACTCAAAAGTGGTATCAGGCGAAAGTAGGTACTGCATCAGACCCTGCATATTACACTCAATTTGTGATACATCGTGAAATTGAAGGCTTAGGTAAGAAGCTTTTACTTAAATAAATTTTGGTTAAATTGGTTAAATAGTTGTCCTAAATAGTTATCATTGGCGTACCCTGCTTCTGGACCATAGGAGAATAAATATTTCTTAAGCCAGAATCCTGCGCTTGTTTTGCAGCCCATGGTTCTTCATAAAGCAGAGCGGTGTTCCATCCTCATCAATACGCCCATCCTTATTTTCATCATATAACAAGCACTCTTGCTGATACCTCTAACTAAGAAAGAGTAATTGTATCTGAAGCGAATCGTTACCTATTTTTGAGTGGTTCACTGCTTTTTACAGTATCATTCACAATATTGTCAATCTTAGGTGTATTGTTTGTTAATATTAGTAGTTTATCTCTAACTCTTAATTGTAAGTAATAATATTTTTTTCACACATCTCACACACGGCGGTCTGATCCCAAACAAGGCAGAGCCTGTACTATGGTAACCAGACTGCTGATAAACATACTAGTACATTTCTAAATACATACATATTATAATGTTTCACCGTATCACGTTGGGATTAACACTACTCTTGTATATCGAATTTTGCTTTTGTACTAATTTCAGATAGGGTGCTGGATTATCCATTCATGATATTGTCTACTGACTATGATGGCTACGCTATAGCTTACATCTGCATATGGCTGAAGGAAAAGGAACGAAAACATTTTGGTAACGTAAAAAGTTGTATGGTATGAAAGGAAAAGTGAGCGATAGTATGAACATTCATTAGGTTACTGACACTAATCTGAGCGTGATGAGGAAGGTTAACACTTAACATAATAGAATTTCTTGTGAGCTGTAAGCGGAATTTTATGCTAATGACTTCATCCGGCTTGAGAACGAATAAAATCAACTGATTTAAATAATTTTAATGCATATGGTATGTATTCCCGTACGTATCTATCCCCGGAGTTTTAGACAGGTTGTATTTAAACGCTCACACTTTTTCTAATATAATTTTAGTCCTCCTTACGCGATAGGGACCAAAGCTGTCATATATTGCCGTTAACCGTGCCTATAATATTTCTAGATAAACATCGTTATATGTTTATAAATACATACTTATTTTAGATAGTTTTTTTCATAGATTCAAAAAGTATAATATCCTGGATTCAATTTAAAATTATTTTAAGAAACGTATCTAAGTGATAATGGCTAATACTTTATTTCATGTAATGACAGTATTCGCCTGGATCCTCACACGCAGTAAGGAAAAGCTACATGGAAAAACCCTTAAGCAGGTCGAAGAGGAATTATCCAAGTACCCAGAGTTAGCCGAACATAGACAAGAATTCGTCTTTAAAGAATTCGACAACGCGACTTGTGCTTTTGAGCATAAGGTTGAAACTGACTTCTTCAATAGTTATTTCTGTTAATCTTTTGTGTATTAACTGCAGTTTTTAATTAAAATATTTTCGTGCTTGTGTCTTATAATTTCTCTTTATTATGCTTAGGTATGAACCCTAAAGTTATATTTTTTAAATTTAAGACTTACTATTTCCAATGTTTATTATTACTTAGATTTCTTTCTGTGATGGTACCTCAAATAACCCTAGCCTGAGTAAGGCAGTCTTTCGCTATTAAACACGTAGCCAGCTCCCCGCCCTGTGGGGGAGGTCTAACAACAGGTTAATTTCCGTGTGTGACCGATTAAGAATACGGAATGTCACCACCCGTGAGTGTCGCAAGAGCCGACTAAGGGAGCAAACTACGCAGGACAACTGCACTGCAAAGAGAAGGAAAACTTGACACAACCCCTATACCAACCAAAACCTCCAGAAACCTCCTCAAAGGCCAAAACCTCCTTTCTACGGAGAGGCCTATGTCCAGCAGTGGACTATTATAGGCTGTTGATGTGATGTATTTGGTACGTATGTATGTATGTATATTTATGTCGTTATTTCTGTCTAACCTCTTTAACCTAATTTTCTACTAAGTACTAACTTTACCCTTCAATTTCTAGTGTATCTAGTCACACAACTCAGCACCACCCTAAGGTAGACTGGGTGAAAATGCCTGTGACATGAAGTCCGTCATTGTACAACTCATATTTGTGCATAAAGAAAAAAAATGAATATTTTTTTATTGAAAAGTAAATAGGTATCGCACAACCTCATCTATGGACTATAATGCAATAATAGGCTAACTAAGTTTGGTGCAGCTTATCTCCGCACGCTTACAACATTGACCAACAAACACATGTGACAAGCAGTGATAACATTAATACAATCCAGAAATTAAAGGCCAGGCCTACCAAAGGAAAGCTATGAAAAAACGCAGAATTTTTTTTAACCGTTTATCAATTCGGATGTTTTTTTTATTTTATTTTTTAAATTCTTTTTTTGGTCGAAAGTGGTTTATTCCGAAATGGTCCCATTTAAATTCCATGTAGATCTGATTATGAGTTTCGGTGACAGACAACGGCAATATTCAAAAAATGACTGCAAAACAACCGAAATTGCTACTAGGTTTTTGGTGCTCTTTGTTAGTGTTGTTAGAACTCGGTTCACATTAAAAAAAAAGGATTCATTCTTGTTTTCACTATGATAGATAATATGGGGGGTCCGTGTGGTGAGGGATTAAGAATACAGAGTGTCCCCACCCCTATTCATCCCGTGGGTGTCGTAAGAGCCGACTAAGGGAGAAAACTACGCAAAACAACAGCACTGCGGCAGAAAGAAAACTTGACACAAACCCTATAACAGCCCGTCTGGCCAGCGTGGTATAGTAGGCCAAAACCTCCTTTCTAAGGAGAGACCTATGTCCTGCAGTGGACTATTAAAGGCTGTTGATGATGATGGTGAGATAATATGCCGACAGTCAAAGTAGCATCAAGGCCGAGTAACATATAAATGCATTGATAAAAGAGTATTAAGAATTAATTTTAATGCATAATTCGTTAATTATTGAGATTGAAAGCTTATTATATTATTGCAAGTCGACAGTTGTGTTATAATAAAACATTTCTTCGATTGCACAATAGTGAATGAAATGGATTAAATTAAATCGATCAATTATGTTCGTATCAAGGTGGTATTAATTGATAACTCTTGGTTTATCTACCAGTAAACTACATAAATGAAATAAATTCACACTGACTTTATTAGAGCCTATGATACAGGCAATTAAATATATCATAGTTCGAAAATTTTATTGTGTCTCATGTTTTTACCGATTTATAATTGTAGATACGCACACTGACACTTGCTACTGACCAGCACTATTTATGCTTAAGTAGTGCATTCTTTGATTCTTTTAAAAAGACAACGCCCGCATTAGGAATAAATCCTGTGTCGCGGGGGACTTTACAAACATACATGAAACGGACACAATGGACACCCAGACTCAGAACAACAATTTGTGGATCACACAAAGTGTCGTCCCATGTGGGGTTTGAACCCACAACACTCGGCGTAGTAGGAAGCGGCGTGGCGACCGCTTAAACCACTACGCCATCCGTGCAGTCAAATTGTCATGCATGCATTGTCATAGAGTTATCTAATCAAAAACGAAAAACAAAATATGCCAAAATAATAACCACAATAAAATAACAATAAAACAAGATTGTTTACATTTATTTCAGAGTAATATTGAAGCACTTACTACAAATGCTACATCAACTATGTTATCTTTTCTGTGCCAAATAGTTTTACAAAATTATTACTATCCTACCAAAAATATTTTCATGTAAAATCTTGCCAAGACGAGACCTATGGCTTGTACTGTCAAAAAGTTATCAAATCTTATATAGAGCCAAACTTCTAACTCTACACGCCGTGACTCTACAAACACCAACTTCACAATCTCTATATCTTAGTCAAAATGATTTGGCCTTTGCGCTACCGCCACATGGGCGTAAGGTGAAAAATTTATTCACTACAATAGTTCTTGTAGTATCGATTGCCCAGATGAACATTAATAAACCCACCGCTACTGTCTACTGCATGGGCGTAAGGTGAAAAATTTATTCACCACAATAGTTTTTATAGTAACGATTGCCCAGATGAACATCAATAAACCCACTGCTGGAGCATTATCGTGGTGGATGCTGCTTTTCTTACTGGCTTACTTCTTATTCTAAAATATTTAAGTGTGACCTACGTTAATTTTTTAAGTTTCTTCATTTTTTCTTTCTTTTTTTGATGTTTATTTCTTACAAGACAGAGGTGCCTTTTTTCATAGCCTCTGTCTTTACCTTTTTTTGTTAGTTTACTCTTTGTAGTAATGGATAGATCATTATCGCCTGATCTATCTGTTACTACAAAAAGTACATCACATCATTATCTGAATCTGATTAATCATAACAGTAATGATTTATTTCTCCCATCACAAAGGTTCATGTACGATTATACTCGTACTAAGATGAATAGTGCTCTAGTATACTATGAGTTACGTAATTATGAACCTTTATCACATCACACATCACATCAACAGCTTTTAATAGTCCACTGCTGGATTAATGAATACCTAAATGGATTAAGTAATAAAAATATACAAATACCTTATTAATTTTGCATCATTACGTTTTAAATAAGTACCTACACATTCAAATCAAATCGCATTAAAAATCGAGTTCACTCGCTACGACAGCGACGTATGCCTGTTCGGGTTGAACGCTTTCTGAAATTGACTTCGGACTATTCGGCAATAATCGTTTCTATTCGGACAAGCACGGGCCGGGCAGGTACACACTAGGCGTTTTGCGCGTGCTTAATGCCACATTCACAAATTTAAAGGATGGGTGATGGGATTATATTCACTAAAAATACGGAAATATGTATTTATTATTTATAACAAGGAGTCCCTATTATCTCAATTTACAGACCTCTAGCATTAACTACGTCTACGCACCGACTATGAGTACGAAAGTGGGCCCATGGGGCTATCGCCTGTTTGTGGTATGCATACATCCACAGAAACCCAAGCTACTGTGATGACACCCATCTCGAAACAGCGTAATTTGACGTCAAAAAGGCGTAAAGTTAAATCTCCGCGCGTATTTACTACCCGAACGGTGCCTGACAGCCAAGAGAAAACAGCTGATCGCTCGCCGACTGGCGATGTGATGACTGGTAACGCTCCAGTACCTTCATCTGTCGCCAGCTGTACGTTTAACAGCGACCCTCCGCCACCGTCACCGCCCCTGCCGGCGGCTTCCCCGTATGTTAGTAACGACAATAAAAAGACGTTCTCTGCGATTGTGCAGAATGGACGGCCGAAGAAACAGTCCAGTACTGTCCAAGAGGAGTGGACTTTGGTTCAAAAAAAAAGGAGACTGAGAAATCGTTTTGTAGGAAGTACAGGAAAAGCAATTCTCGACTTAAATAGTAATTTTAAGGCAGCGGATATTAAAGTGCCAATATATGTATACAATGTGTCTAAAGAGACAACTGAAAGTGACATCAAAGCTTATTTACTGCAAAAGACTAACTTAGACATAAAGATTGATAAAATAAACATGAAATTAAGTAAGGACTATAACGGGTACATAGCTTTTGTACCAAAGCAAAAGCTAGAATTATTTTTGAAAGACGATTTCTGGCCCGAAGGTATTTTATACCGCCGTTACTTTGATTTTAAACGAAAGCAGGGTACGCCTGCTTATCGGGAGATAAATGGAGCTAATTTATCAATTGATGGATAGTACAACTACGCTTGTAACGTTCAACTGTAAGAGTGTCATCAGGTCCGTAGAATGTGTAAGAAAGTTATGTAAGGAGGCCGATATAGTTGCGCTTCAGGAGACCTGGCTGTTGCCCCATGATATACAATTCGTTGGCGGTATTGATGACGAATTTTCGTTTACTTCGAAGTCGGCTGTCGATACGTCAGATGGCGTACACAGAGGGAGACCTTACGGTGGTGTCGCCTTACTCTGGAGAAAAGCGGTATTTCCCTCTGTGTCAGTGTTACCGTGTAGAAGTGTGCGCCTAGCGGCGATAAAGCTTGTGCTCAACGACCGGTCCACGATAGTGATATCTATTTACATGCCTACTTGTTCTATGGAAAATTTAGCGGAGTTTACGGATTGTTTAAGTGAACTAAACGCAATAATTGAAAGTAGTGACGTGGAATCGGTATTTATTCTGGGTGATTTCAACGCGCACCCAGGTGAGCTGTTTTCTAACGAACTAATAACTTTTTGTTCTGAGCGATCGTGGTCGCTTGTAGACGTTGAATGCATGCCGCGCGATACCTATACGTTTGTAAGTGAGTCACACGGGTGCCGCCGTTATCTCGATCACTGTGTTGTAACAAGCGCAGCGAGGCGCACGGTTGTAAATATGAAAGTATTGTATGACACATATTGGTCCGATCACCATCCTTTGTTTATACAATGTAACTTAAATGTTATTTTGCCTAAAGTTTCAACCAGTGTTAGTTCGCTTAATGATGTAAAATGGGGGTCGAGAGATTATTGTCAAATTCAAGAATATAGCACCTATTGTAATTCTAAATTAAAATTAATTGACTGCCCAACAGAATTTACTAACTGCGCTGGTAAAGTGTGTAATAATGAGCAACATAAAATACTCTTAATTAAAATGTATAATGAGATTGTCAGTATTCTTACTGAAGCCGCTAAGCTGAGCCGCAAAGGGGTTGCACGGAAACATAAATATGTGATAGGGTGGAATAGGTATGTTAGTGATGCACACAGGAGAGCGAGATTTTGGTTTCAAACGTGGGTGACCTACGGCAAACCTAGTTCGGGGTATATATATAACAATATGACTGAAACTAGAAGAATATTTAAATCTAAATTAAAGCACTGTCAGAACAATGAAACTCAAATTAAGATGGACATTATTGCGAAACACCATTCGAATAAAAACTATGTTAATTTTTGGAAAAATACGAGTAAGTTGAACCCTAAGTCGAGCTCTCCGGTGAGTGTGGGTAGTGTTCACGACCCACACGATATAGCTTGTGCCTTTCAGCATCACTTCAGTGTGTCATCACCTCTCGGACCCTCGTCGCAAATGCTCGCTGCGGACAGTCGTCCCGGGTATATTAACATCAGGTTTTCCGCTAAGGAGGTTGCCCTAGTTATAAAAAATATGGTAAGAGGCAAATCCCCAGGTCACGACAGTCTTAGCATCGAGCATTTGCAGTATGCGGGCATACATCTACCGAGGGTGCTTGCATTCTTGTTCAACATGTGTATTAGTCATAGCTTTTTGCCAGACGATTTAATGTATACAGACGTTGTGCCTATCGTAAAGGATAAGACTGGCGATTTGTCGAATATGTCTAATTATAGGCCAATTTCACTTGCGACTGTTATTGCTAAGGTGCTGGACAGTTTGCTTGACCGGCAGTTGGAACGGCACCTACAATTACATGACGCACAGTTTGGGTTTAGGCCCGGTTTATCAACTGAGAGTGCTGTTCTCTGTATCAAGCAGACTGTCCAGTACTATACAGCTAGAAATACACCTATATACGCTTGTTATTTAGATCTCTCAAAAGCTTTTGACCTTGTTAATTATGACAGGCTGTGGCAGAAGCTACAATGTGATACGAATCTACCACGTGAGATTGTATCTCTATTTAAATATTGGTACAGTCAGCAGAAAAATAGAGTAAGATGGTCGGATGTACGGTCGGACATGTACAGGTTGGAGTGTGGCGTGAGGCAAGGTGGTATATCCTCGCCTCGTCTCTTTAATCTGTATATGAATGGGCTGATCGGTGAGCTTAGTAGCACAAACATAGGTTGTTCTATTGACGGTGTGTGCATAAATAATATAAGCTACGCTGATGACATGGTGCTGCTGAGCCCATCGATTGGTGCACTACGTAGGTTGATAGGTATCTGTGAGACATATGCGGCGAGTCATGGTCTCAAGTATAATGCCAAAAAGAGCGAATTTATGATCTTTAAAGCTGATACCAAATGCTACTCAATTGTACCTCCAGTCACTCTTTGCGGAACTCCTTTAAAGAGAGTTTATAAGTTTAAGTACCTTGGGCATTGGGTCGCCGATGACTTATCAGATGACCTTGATATTGAGAGGGAGCGTAGGGCGCTGTCTGTCCGGTGTAATATGTTGGCTCACAGGTTCGCACGTTGTACCACACCAGTAAAAGTTACTCTTTTCAAAGCATATTGTCAGTCCTTCTACACGTGCAGCTTGTGGACTAACTTTACGCAGCGGGCGTACAGCGCACTACGCGTCCAGTACAACAATGCTTTCAGGATGCTATTGAATCTGTCGAGGTTTTGCAGTGCATCAAACATGTTCGCGGAGGCACGTTGCGATGACTTTTATGCGATCATAAGGAAGCGGAGCGCGTCAATGTCCAATCGACTGCTAAGCAGCACCAATGGCATCCTGAGAGTATTGTCCGAGAGGTGGGATCTTCCAATCCTACAAAGGTGGATGCGTCTGCATGCTAGCGCATCCCCACGATTTATTTTTTAATTTGTTTTGTGTTAATGTAGAACTAACATAGTTGTAAGATTACTGTTACTAACATATCTATGGACTAATGTCTGAAATAAATAAATTTATTATTATTATTATTAAAATTCATACATATGTACATGTCTCATAAAAGTTCCATCCCTAGCTTAAGGGGTTAGGGGGGGAAGTTTCAAGTTTTATATTTTTTTGTTGTTTGAGTACAAAAACTAGCTAATGTACCAAATTTCAGCTTTCTAGGACTTCAGGAAGTACCCTATGAATTTTGATGATCATCAATGAGTCAGTGACGAAATCGGGCTTTTTTGGAGAACAAAAAAATCTAAAATTTTAGAGATATGCTATTGAAACTTTTAACATTTTATATGTTCACTATTAGCATCATATTCCGAGAATTTCTTTCATCTGGTATAATCCAAACCCAAGTTATGAGGGTTGAAAAAAAGTTAGGTAGTACCCTTGTGCTTTACTTGGCTCGTCTCGGCGGTGGCACTGCCACCAGATCTGTAAATATTTAGTTCTTCTACTGTTTTTTTGTATGTTACTCTATTGTTGAATTCTAAAATAATTTGAGATCATAAAAGTGAATATTTTATTAATGTGACCAACTAGTGTCTTGAAATTCGATTATAAAATAAAACACAGATTTTGCAGGTATTACTTGTGATTTTTTATTTTTCAGAAATTAAGATTTAGATTGCAAATATATTTTTTTAAATCTATGCAATATAAATAAATAATACTGAAATAAGTGACAAAATATTCATGGCTACTTAAAAGATGATAATTTATTATTTCTTAGAACTAAAAATCATTAGATCAATACACTGTAGGAAATATGTTATGTTACACAATAAATAGTTAAAAAAATCTCAACAGCAAGAAAAATGGTGTATCACCTAAAAAAAAACATTTAAAAATAGTATTGATGCATAAAGGAGTTTTATAAAAAATAGAAAAAGAATAGCATTTAAAACATTTCTACTCTCCCTAAAATTATACACGTAGAAATATTTCTTTAATATCACACTACAGCATTCCATTTTCTTATACATCCACGCAAGATTCAAGGCTTGGCTACTGGTGTCTCCATCACGCTGGTAGACGTAAACTTGCAAGCCTCTTCGGAGAAGTCGCTCTGAACGAGTTTGGCAGAATCAATGACCTTGGGATTTTCTTTCAAGAAATTGTCGACAGCATTTTTGGCGTCTCCCTCCAAAGTTTTGGACCTTGAGAGAATCCAAGCGTGCTCTGAAAAAAGAAGTATTTATTTAGAATTTGAAATATTTTTATTTATGCATTTTGCTCTCTTATCAATCTAATATATTTAGTGTAACATCATCCATTTATAGAATATTTCATGTTCTTAATAGTGTTATAAGTCAAAGTCAATTTATAAAATTTCAATAACAAATATACCAAAAAGCTTTGAACTTTAAAGCAGGCTTTGCTGAACGTAATTAGATATGAGCTCATGTCTATTATGAGTTCATTACTTCGTTCATCATTTCGTAAAGTTATATTTAGAAAGAGACTTAAGATTATATTCCTCGGAACTCTCAATAACAGCCACTTAAAGTGTCCTCAAAAATCAGTCAGTACTTTCCCTCTTAAATACATTTCTCTTGAAATATGCTGTCAGTTTGTTCAATCCTAAAATTACCGGTTTAATACAGTAAACTTGCTTCCTATACCCTTATACGACCAAATTATATTTACGGTAAAGCTATAGATGAGATGCTGCCTACCACTTCTTTAGATTTAGGCATTAATACACTCATAATCTATATATTCAATTTTTTATTTCCGTTATAGTCGCAAAATATATTTTCAAAAATCCTTTATATGTCAAACAAACAATCTAAAGAAAGACAATAAATTCTAGAACAATCGAATTTATAATAGGTGTTATCATACTATGTGGTAAGTACAGTGATTCTTTTTAAAGTCACGCGTTAACACACGAGGTGTCATATAAAATTAATTCATAAAGCCGGTACAAATACGAGTAAATATTTTTATAATCTATCAAAGATAAGTGTATTAATACAATTATTCATACACTCATAAAGAGTTTATCGATAGCTACCATAACAGCTGAAGACCATATTGAATGATTTTATAAATTATTATTTTTATCAAATCCCAACGACTAAAGATTTTTCACATTTTTTTAAAATACTTTAATAAAATACATATTTTAGAGGGTTCGGATTCTCCAACGGCAGCCAGTTCTCATTATAGTTTTGAGGGAATAGGTGATATATTCCTACGATACAAAGTTCATTTCTCACCTACGACGTGACGTAACGTGGCAAAGTGATAAGGCTTGGCGGACCAATACCTAACTGATAATCGCAGGTTCCAGATATACTAATCAACGTTTTTTTAATGTTAACTGTTGGTAATATTTCGTATAAGTAGTAATAATCCTTGCCTCCTATTACCCTATCCTTAATTTCCATATTGATCGTTTGTCAAAACAGTTAAAGCAGGCAGCTTATCGAAAATGAAGGCCACACATTTATTGAAAGATCGATATAGACGAAGTTGATTGCATGACTCATCTATTTGTTGATATGATTAATGAAATGCATTTGTTGATATGATTAATGATATGTCCTTTTACCTTGCATTTATAAATTATAAATAGGATTTAACATTCGATGCTGAACTATTCCTACATAGTACACATGTCAAAGTTCAAAACACACATATTTATGTGTATATATTACGAGTATAAAAGGCTTGAAGCTTTGGAGCTAATCAATACTAATTTTGTCTAAACCGATTTAGACAAAATTGGTATAGAGTCCGAGTTCCGGGAAAGGACAAAGGGTAGTTTTTATCACAGAAATCATACTCTAAGGGTTTGAAAAGGGGGTGAAAGTTTGTATTTGGGGAATTAAGAACCGCTGAAGCGATTCAGGTAAAATTTGGTATGGAGATACTTTGATTCTTGAAGAAAGACATATGGGCGATAACCAACATTTACGTGTTAATTTTCGTTATGTGACATGGAATTTGCTTAACAAAGCTATTAAGATATGCTAGTTTTAGTTGTAATTTGACTTGATGAAAAAATTAAGCAAGCAAAAAAGAGTCCAAATTCTTCTTTTATTTTATTTGAGAAAATATTTTATTAAATTTATATTTAATGAAAGCTATCTCTGTTGTCATTTTAGTTGAGTTGGTTATCGATTAACACTCTACCTATATATTTATTGTTTTTTATTTGATACTTCGGTATTTTATCACGATACCGTCCATTGATTTTAGAGCGCGGCGCTGTGACGTTTGACGTTATGAAGATAATATTGTTCATAAATATTACTCAGAAAGTCAATGTAACATGTTATGCAATATTTAGATAGTCATTATTTTTATACCATAAGAGGGGAAACCCCTCGGACCGACCACGGTTTCCGTTTGCGGCGGGGTGGTGTGTCTCAATCGGATCGACTAAAACCACACGGTGGGCCACTCTGCGCCCGTAATAGGAGGGCTCCGAGAACTGCTGTTATTAAGACATCCTAGCACCTGCCCGCAACGGCGCGGGTACCATCTTTAGGTACATTCTCTGTTTAGACGCTACAGCGCTGTCACAGCTACGAATTTCAATCTAAGTTGGTTTGAAGTTCGACGATGTAGCAGTAAAAGTCACAAGTGTGTTGCCGTTCTTTGAGCCCTCTCCCTCCGCCCCTCCAGAATAAGGGGAGGTTGTATCGAACCTTGTTTCTTCAACAATTAACTATTCACAAATATATTTTTCTATACTCTAAAATCAGAATCATTAAAAAACCCCCGACACAAAAAAAAATAAAAAACCAAAACTACTCATTGAGACTGTTCTAATAAGCCCGGACATGGTACTTGATGTAGCATCAAGTTCTAGGTTACCACGTCGTGGAAACACCACCAAAGTAACAGTATACCAAATTTCAGATCAATCGACCTGTAGATTTTAGTGAGACCCTTCAGCACCTAGGAAGTCAGCTAATAATCTTCAAAATTTATAGCTAAGAACCATCTCGATCACATCGGCTTTCGAACAAAAGAATCTGCATCGAAATTGGTCCATCCGTTCGGGACCTATGATGTCACAGACACACAGGTATACAGGTTAAACTTATAACACCCTCATTTTCCGTCTGGGGTTAAAAATGATAAGATTCGATAAAACGAATCGAGCTCACATTTCTTAATCCATTTGTATAAGCAATTTCTCTATCTTGCTATTTCCTTCTCTTCTTATCTATCAATAACATGTGTCAATGGGATTAGCTTAAGAAACATTGATTGATTGTTTTATCATTTCTGCCGAAGATCTGTTATCATTTTGTTAAGACACACTTATGTTCAAAAACACCAATTTATTTAAAATGAATGAAAGAACGGTCATTATTAATGGAACCAGTTTTTTTTTCAATGTTTTTATACACTAGACACTTTATGATTACATGTTTTATCCAAGAGATTATTAATCCTTGTTTTATGTAGCCGTTTTAAATAAGTTTTATCCCTATAAAAGATTAGAGTATAATATCTTTACACATCTCACACACGGTAACTGATCTCAGGGCCTAACTATGGTAACCAGATAGCTGATAAATATACTTAAACACATTATTGATAAATTACATCCAGACACAAAACAAATGACCGCGCTCATCACACAATATTCCTTACTCTATTCAACTTTATACAACCCCACTTGTCCTTCATATCTCCGTGAGCGCTTCGAGCACTTTATTCCCAGGAACAATCTTTGTCGCTCTTCTTCTTCTCTCCTCCTTCGAACTCCCTCCCACACTTCGAGTCGTTATGACAACTCTTTTAGCGTTGCAGCTGTTCGACTATGGAATGCCTTACCGCGTGCAATACGCAATAGCCCTTCTCCTAGCGTGTTCAGGAGGAGAACCAGGGATTATTATCTGTCCCTTCAATAATCAGACCCTTGGTATTTATGTATGTATGTATGTGTGTATATATATATATATATATATATATATATATATATATATATGTATATGTTTGTAAACGTATAATATATTTTGCTATCCTAATTTATGTCGGTATTTATTTAATTTTTATGCTTTTCTGTGTTGATTCCTACGTACGCATGACTGTGCCCTTACGTTTCTCTGTTGTCCTCTATTCGCTCAAGGTTTGCTGGAAGAAAACTCATTTTTGGGTTAAGCTCGCCTTTGTACATGACATTTCCTTGTTACTTATATATATGTATGTGTTCAGTGTGTACAATAAAGAATAAATAAATAAATAAATATTTTTTTGGGTGGGAATCGCACCCACGACCTCCGGTTTAGCAGTCAGGGTCACTAACCAGTAGACTAATAGGGCCGATAAAACCCTATAACTCATATTATTTTAAAATTGTAGCTTCCTGTGGTTTGACCGATATATAAAGATCAAGTAATACTATTCCAGTAATACGATTCTCGATATGATACGCTACCGAGAGTTATTCTTTTTTAAAAGGAGTATAAATATTTCCTCATGTGTTACAAGTATTATATACAGAACTTAAATCAACTATATAATATGCCATAACACACATAATATGCCAAATTCATGATTGATTATTTATCAATCATGAATTTCGTAAAAGATTTAATGACGTACCTTCGTGTATCTTCGTTTTCTCATCGTACTTGCAGTTGTAGGCAATAGAATATCCACTGTAGTCAGTTTGCAGAACCATAAGTTGGGAATCCGATGGTACTCCTGACATAAAAATAATTCGTTACAGGTTTCGAATAACACAACTCATGCATAAATTACTTTTCTTCGTTTTAGTTATATAGAGTATTAATAATATTGCAATTACTCGTACATAGGCTTAAGAACCAGACAATATTGTGCCACTAACTGTGCTATTTACTGCCAGGTTTGACTATGGCACTTGGTTAATACGTGGAACATTTATGAGTCCCTGAAAGTCAGATTGGTACATATTTTGTTTATACATTATCTGGTAATGAACATTTAATCTGGTTAAAGGCGTTTACAGGCAAAATCGACTTATATTTCTTTTTTGTAGACCTGTCACCTTTTTTTTCTGTGCGGAAACCCCTCGGATACCATCCACCCGTGGTTATGTCGGACTCGAACCGACCAAAAACCGCACTCCGTCTAGGGTACCAGTAGCCGGGGCACCAGGTGTACCCTTGGAAGGAATTCAATGGTACCCCGACAGACCCCGGGCCATCTACGGATTTTAGTTAACCCCCTCGAGTGAGTGAGTAGGGTGTTGTTCCGCCGGCAAGCTCACTCACTTCTTCAAAAGCTTCGAAAAAATTGATTAACACTGGTTTTCCGTGAGCCATTGTATCCTCCGGTTGTGTCGAAGCATAGCTTTCCTATGATAAGGTGTATGTTTTACGAGATCAATAAAAAAAAATAAAGATACAAATTCTTACCTCCAAACGTGAAGGACACAATGAACTTAGCCGCATTGTTAGCATCATCAGCAAATCTTGCAGTTCCTTCTATGTAGGTCTGAACACTGTTGATGACTTGAGAGTTCTTAACCTTGACCACGTCGCCTTCGAGCTTGTATTCAGCCTGTCCACACTTGCCTGGTCCTTCGGATTCGATAGGTATTTTAGATATTTCATACCAAACTCCTTGATACTGTAACAAACAATTTGAACAAATGCATAATCAGGCAGTTCATATGTTAACGGATACTGAGTGGTACTTAAAAAAGTTGTCTTTTTTATGACCTTGGGTAAACTGTTCACCTAATGGTAAGTGACTACTGCCGACTATAAACACCTACAAGTATTTCAGGAGCAACACTATTCGACCGATCCTGAAATTAGGGGTATTGGGGATATGGGTAACCTCACTTAGTCAGTAAAAGGAAAGGAAGAATTGCTTAGCACAGGTTTACTGTGAGTTTTGGTATAACACCTGTTGAACCTTGAATCTCCCACGATAAATGGTTCAAAGCTTTGATGACCATAATAAGGTGATCTCTGTAATCACTGATTCCGAAGTACGCATGACTGTGCCTTTACGTTTCTCTGCTATCCTCTGTTGACTTAAGGTCTGTTGGTTTTTTTTGAGAGGCAAAATAGCCTATGTTACTTTTTATATATCTAGCTACCTGGTAGTAAAATATAATCAAAATCAGACCAACTTTTTTGAAGATTACCCGGATCAAACCGACTATATACAGACATAAAATATTTCAACTGGTTTGCGAATTTTATTATTACCTACATTTTATCTGTGTTTAGAATAAGTAACAACGAAAACACATTATCGGTGCATGATACTGATATACTTATCATACTATTTCAACTTTGATTTGCATGTTAAAAATATTATCCGACCCTATATTGATAAAAACACACTGGCTTTTTTGCATTCTCATAATACTTAAAACTTTTGTATTAAAACTGAAAAACCTTTTATGTATTTAATTTGAGACTGCACTGCACTTACTACTACGCTGAGTGTTGTGGGTCCGATCCCCACATGGGACAACACTTTGTGTGATCCACAAATTGTTGTTCTGAGTTTGGGTGTTCTTAGTATCCGTTTCATGTATATTTGTAAAGGCCCCGCGACTCAGGTTATATTCCTAGTGAGGGAGTTGTGTTTTAAAAAAAAAAAATATTGCAGACTATTCACCATGGACACCTGCAACTCAGAGTCACAAGTTCGGTGCGGTATTTTATTCCAACCCCCCAGAATCCATGGTGGCGTGAGGTGGGTCACGAAAGAATTCGTTAACACCGATTTTCTGTGAGGTCATGGTAGCACTCCGGTCGAGCCTGCCCATTTGAGCTGAAGAACAGCTCTCCCACGTTATAACGTTTTTAATGTTTATTTATTTTAGTTTTTTTTTAAAGACTTCGCCCGCAGTAGGAAACTTTCCTGTGTCGAGAGGAACTTTAAAAACATACATGAAACGATCACAAACTACACTCACAATTTGTGGATCACACAAAGCATTGTCAAATGTAGGGATCGAACCCACAACACTTAGCGAAAACCACTACGCCATCCCTGCAGAATCATTATATTGTTAGTTAGTATGCATAATTAAGTGGAATAAATAATTTTACCTCAGATTGTTACCCATAACAAACTCAAGGCGTTATGTTGAGAGAATCATCACATCAACAGCCTTCAACAGTCCACTGCTGGACATAAGCCTCTCCTTAGAAAAAAGTTTTTGGCCTACTATACCACGCTGGTCAGACGGGTTGGTATAGGGTTTGTGTCAAGTTTTCCTTCTCTCTGTTAAGAGAATATCTAAGACTAATGTCGACACACATATTTGTACAACACGACTAGTAAAGGTCAAACCTTAAAAAAAAATCTTAGGGCTACGAACAGCAAAAAAACACCTCACCCTACGTTTGTCATATTTCATTTTCATCATTCACGGTCGCAACGCCACACGCTAGCAGTTTTATTATTTTTGACACATAATATCAGTTTTAATTGAAATCCCACAATTGTTTTCGTAATATATCCAATGACTTATTTACATCGATAGTTAGATAATAATAGAATAAATGTTATAGTAGGATATTATATGGAATCAGGATACTTAGATAAAATTGTTTTTTACTGCACTTATAATGCGGTAGTCACTTTCGACCGGTTGAAAAAAAAAACGTGGCTTAGAAAGCCAAAACCTCCTTTTTAATGAGAGGCGTATGTCTAGCAGTGGACTCTTAGAGACTGTTGATGATGATGATTACAATTTTAATAGTTGTTTATCTTTTCGGTCATTTTTAAATACTTCCTGGCTAGCTAGCTATTAACTAATGGTTTCCCATTATCTCGTTTGCAGTAAATGAACTACAATTTACTGCATCGTCCTTCACGCTTGGTTAATCAATGATTAGCTTGATTGACTCAAATCATTCCATTTCACGACCCACGGGTGCGCTGAAATCCATTGATCTTCCTTTATTAGGAAATTAGTTTGATTGTTGCATGACCCATAGCAGTTAACTGAGTAGTTTAGGTTAAAGTCAAGGACTCCATGTCTAATGTTTTCAACTATTGATTTGATTATTTGAGTACAATGCAAAACACGTGCTTGTATGTGGAACTATCAATATTTATTATTAATATTTCACATACATGAAAAAATGTGTTTTAGATCTGCATCGTCCTTTTTTCCTGTGCGGAAATCCCCTCAGATACAATCTACCAGTGGGCTGGTTATGTCGGAGTCGGACCGACTAAAAACCGCACACCGTTTCCAGGTACCCGTAGCCGGGGCACAAGGTATACCCTAGATAGGAAAGCCCTGGTACCCCGACGTACCTCGGGCCATCTACGCCTTGTAGATGACCCTCCCTTGTATGCGCGCGCTCGGCACCGCGCACCTCGGCCTACTTCTGCTAGGGTGACAGATGGCCTCATCTGTCACCCCCAGGCCTGCACTTATGGAGGACGGAGGTCGGTCTTCCACCTCTGGCGCCTGAGTCGTCTGCGTTAATGCACTCGACTGGAAGAAAATGCCTACGGCATTAAGTCAACTTTTGCCACATTTGTTTGTGGATAAAGAAAAAGAAATTAATAAAATTATTATAATTATAATATAAAATAATAATAAACGACATCAAACTCATGGCTAAAACACATTATCAATTTTACGAATCCTGTTTACATGCATCTGGATCCAGAAAATATATCCGGATAATCCGGAGGGTCAATACAATTTGTGTTAGCATAAAAAGAGCCCTCTGAATTAGTAGGCACATGCGCAAGCTCCAAACACACAAATAGTAAACAGTTTTTGTAGCCCTTTTTGTGTAAGCTCATGTAAGTAGGTAAGTATCCAATTTGCATGTCTGTTGGATTGGACACAATCATCCAGGCATGACAAAATGGATACTGGTTTTGAGTGAGTATACATTCACTATAAAGGACTTTTTTGGTTCCTTTAAATGCTAACCTAACGCCGATTCAACCTATAAAGCTCCTACTATACCATTTTTAATACTTTTAAAATTACTTGAATAATTTGAACTCCAGTTTAGAACATGATATCTAATGTGAACATGATATTTTATCTTAAATCCATAGATTCGATTATACTGATACTATCAATGTCGACCTACTATTATCTGTCATACGTGTCATACGTATGTCATGCGTTTAATAATATATAAAATTTAATTTTTCGTCTATTTGCTGAATTTAAGTTTTGTCCTTATACATCATCTTCATCATTCCTGACTTCCTGGCAAGTCTTTTCGGATCAGCACAAAGTGTATTACATAGGTTTGGTTACTTTCATGGCCAGCTACTTTCCTGATGCTAACCCTTTTTTGGACATCAAATCGTTTCCAGGTAGAATTTAAGTTAGGGGAAAAAAAACGTCCTGGTTCCCCAGCTATTAGTACCCGAGAAGGCGTGCGGCGACGAGTCGGTTCGAGTCCCACATGCCACCGACAGGTGGTATCCGAGGGGATTTCCGCACGGAAAAAAAAGACAAAAAAAAAAAAGGGCAAGAAAAACGTATCGGGTTAAATATACCGCTAGTATTGGATGGAGAAACTGAACTGTGATTAGAGATTCCAAGAAGAAAAGGGAGAAGAAAGAGAATATTAACTGGCCCTGGATATTACACTTATCCAAATGCAAGACTTAAATAACTTTGGCCAGTTATCTGCCATGACGTCATTGATAAGAATATATGATGTCCAAATTCATAGTGACATATTTCATGACATCATTTAACTGAACCATTTCAGAGATTTTTTAGCATTCCATTCATTATTGCAGGAAGTACTAAATTATTCCGATTTATATGGTAATCGGGTAAATATACTTATTGTGTTTCCAAATGTGGGTGTTATTTAAAATAAGCTGATGTACTCAATGAGTGGCCTCTATGTCTAGTGGTTAGTAACCCTGACTGTTTGGATATTCCTACAAAGGACAAATATTTGTGTGATGAGCACGATCATTTATTCTGTGTCTGAGTATAATTTACCTATAATATGTATGTATTTAGAAATAAATAACTCTGCCTAGCTTGGGATCAGACAGCCGTGTGAATGCCTTTCAGATATGTATGAAGTTATTATTATTATTTAAACCATGTTAACTATTCAATAGTGTCCCGAAAATTAGTAAAAGTAATGAAAGGTTGTATGAATTAAAGCTTTGAGACAAATCGAGGGTTGATCAATAGATCGACCAACCATTTTTTTTTTTAAAGACCACTCCCGCATTAGGAATATATCCTGTGTCGCGGGGGACTTTACAAACACACATGAAACGGACACAAAGAACACTCAGACTCAGAACAACAATATGTGGATCACACAAAGTGTCGTCCTATGTGGGGATCGGACCCACAAAACTCGGCGTATATTACTATACGGCGTGGCAACTGCTTAAACTACTACGCCATCCGTGCAGTCGAATTGGTTGTACATAACTTTGTTCATCATAAGGAACTTCGTTTTACTGTTGAATTTACTGAGTTCTTTTTTCTTGCTTTTATATAAATTTGTCCGTGTGGTGACGGATTAAGAAAACGGATTGTCCCCACCCCCATTCCTCCCGTGGGTGTCGTAAGAGCCGACTTAGGGAGCAAACTACGCAGGACAACAACACTATAAAGAGAAGGAAAACTTGACACAAACCCAATACCAACCCGTCTGGCCAGCGTGGCATAGTAGGCCAAAACCCCCTTTCTAAGGAGAGACCTATGTCCAGCAGTGGACTGTTAAAGGCTGTTGATGATGATGTTTATATATAAATTGTTTTTTCAAGCCTGGGTCACCGAATTTTACGTACAGCGAACAATGTGTGGCTTTGTTGGTTCAACTAACAAACCAACACAACATTTTACCTCAAATTTACATTGCGACTTATTGTTAAGTTTATAAGTTTATTTCTAAGCTGAGCTTGAATAAACAATTTAAATATTGTTAAACATAATGAGTTTTTTGAACTGGATGTAGTTGGATAGGTACTTAATTATATTCAGGAGTCGATTTTATTATTATTAATATAAAATATTGAACATCCAAGTTATTTCTTAGGCTAACTGCTTAATTTGACAGGTTTAATTTTGTTAAGAAACGAATGAGACGCCTAAAACTGTGTAGCATTACTGAGCATTATTGACTTAATCAAAAAAAATCTAAATTTCTGTAGATAAACACACTATTCTGGTTAAAGTACTTGTCAATTTGTTGTTAACGTCTTGTAACGTAATTTAAATATTAGTTTTAGGAGTGGGTTAACGTAGTTAGAAGATACTATTTACATTTTTGATTGCAATAACGAGACTTATGGAAGTCTCGATTTAAGAGTCGCTCAAATAGCGACTCTTAAATCGAGACTTCCATAAGTCTGGATTTGGAGAACCCACAGACAATCGCAAAAAATATATTTAAAAGCTTTTTTTTAAATTTTATAAATATGAGGCTATTAATATAACAGTAGGTTTTGTAAATTTTAATTCAATAGTCCAATGAACATCTTGATTTTCTTAATCGTAACTGAATAATTAACGCTATTGCGAGCTCCTATATTTTTTTTCTTTTACGGTTAACAGGTGTAAGGTTATCTTTCAATTCTAGTTGGTACGGCAGATTTATACATATAAAATTGCATAGGTAATTCAAACATATTCCCTTGCTAATATAAATATAAAAGTACCTGGATGCTTTGCCCGGTATTTTTGTAAAATGAAACCTACCTCGATCGATTAATAGCCCCCGAAACCCCTTGTATACTACATTTCACGAAAGTCGTTTCCAAGATTCAGATCATAAATGTATACATATATACAAGAATTGCTCGTTTAAAAGTATTAGATTACCTGAGTACATTTTTGATCCTAATTTATTTTCTCAAAAGCTTTTGGAACTTAAACGATGAAACAACCTACACAAGAAGAAGTTATATAAAAATATATGAAAAATTACACTTTACCGAAATACAAAAATAAACTTACCGCACTAAGATTAAAATTTTCAACGGGCTTGACTTCAGGGCAGGCTCCCATATGAGAACCGCCATGGTGAGCCATTGCAGAAGCAACAAAGGTGATTATCAAAAACCGGAACATTGTAATAAATTTACTAGTATGTTTTATAAAAATTAAGTCGAGTTAGTCTCTTATGAGTGGACGGTTGTCAGTGATACACTGGCTGTTGTAGCTATCAGCCGATCTTTATATACTCTAAGATACAGAGGTCATGAACGGCACAATTCATACACAGGTTTAATTGACTGAATTGCGGAGGATGAAACGATCGGGCTTCTAGAGGACTCCATGTTCTATAAAGTTCTAGACTTAATGATCATTTGAATCTGTCATTATGTAGAATAGGTAGCATAGAATTAGCCTATATATAGTGAATCCATTGAGGATAAAAATAACTGTATTTATAAGATAATTCCTTTGCTTTATAGTAGATAGATATATATATAGACCTAAAATAGATTTTCATCATAATCATCATAATCTTTAGAAAAAAGACAAATTAAAATTTATTAAGAATCTGTCTTCAACCAACGAATTCACTTAATTTATTTTGTAAATGAAAGTTGTTGATGCACAGATTTGTCATTAAGTAATTGGCAAACGGTTTTCCTCTTGTACGTTTAAAATGTTGCTTTCTTTCATTGGGGTATGGGCAGTCTGAGAGCACTTATTGGAATGAGCTTGTGCCGACTTGAATTGCTGGAGTCGGAGGAAGCTAGTTGTAAGCGTTCAACTTGACTTTCAATGTACATTTTAAATTATCTTTATTTGTATCAATTTTAAGTTAGTTTGTGTATGCTTCAAAAACTCAAAAAGTTCTGCATGGATTGAGCTCAAGTTTTGACACGATATACAACCCGTTTCAAGGATAGTTTTTTGGAAGTTCCTTATCGCGAATTACACGCTCTGAGCGGATGAGAGCGAGACCGAAACATGTGTAACAAGACTTTTTTCCGATACTTATTTCTATAGTTACAGCCATGTATGAACTATATACATCGCACACAGCTCTCCCGCGAACTTTGTTCTGACCGGGGGTCCATAGACCCTTCACCTCGTTTTGTTATGTATTTTTGCGGGTCAGTTTTGTTCCTCATTTCTCACTAATGCATCTACGACAAGGCCTATTATTTATATACAGTGGCAGAGAACAGCTAGTACACATATAAGTTTTAATAGTAGCTGTGCCCTTATATTTACTGTAATATAGATTTTATTTAATAAAGAGTAGTTAAAAAATTAGGGACTTTGAGATTTAATTTGATTTTTTAAGTCAGAGACATGATCAGAAATTTTTGTATCACTCTTTGATATTTTCAATTTGGCAGATTTATTGACCCTGAAAAGAAGGCCAAATATAGTTTATACATAAGTACAAGACTTTGCAACAGGAACAGATTAAGAAACTCTAAGGATTATCGCAAATTTCTATGAAATTCCTTGGAATTTCGTACTAGAAACCTGAAATTTGGAACCTAAATAACCTATGCATGGAAGGTGTCTGGTATTAAAAGGTTTTACGACGGAGTCTAATTAACCTCTACCTTACTGAGTATTTTATCTCCAACTTAAGTTTTATACGCACTATATATAAGGATTATTTTTTTACATTCGGGTCCCTTTGTAACTCTTTGTAATCATAAAAAAAATGGGTTGTAACAGTACTATTTACTAATGTCAATATTTTCTAACACAGAATTGGTTTTAGATGAGGTTACACTATCTGAAATATCAAAAATTATCTTGTTCAAACATACGGTTGATTCAGTCAAGATAATGAGATAAACTTGGATGAGATAGCACATTTAGACTTTGCACATTTCAATATCGGGTTACTACTTGATCAAATATTGACTATCTGTTTTTTTTTTTTTTTATCAGATGCATAATATATATATAATAATAATAATAATATATTCTACCACATACACACAACGCCATCTAGTCCCAAACTAAGCAGAGCTTGTACTATGGGCACTAGACAACTGATATAAATACATATATACTTTTTTTTTGTAAATACATACATATTATACATAGAAACACCCAGACCAAATCAAACATCAAATGTTCATGCACACAATGTTTGACTTGAGCGGGAATCGAACCCGCGACCTTTGGAATAGCAGTCCGTTACACAAACCACTACGCCATCCAGTCGTCTATTAACAGTATATCTCACACATCTCACACAAGGGCGTCTGATCCCAAACTATGCATGAGAACTATGCCAGAGCCTGTGCTATGGTAACCAGACTGCTGATAAACATACTTTTATATTTTTAAATACATACATATTATAGATAAATTACACCCAGTCGCAGAACAAATGACCGTGCTCATCACACAATATTTGTTCTGGGTGGGCATCGAACCCACCACCTCCGGCTTAGCAGTCAGGGTCACGAACCACTAAACCAACAGGCCCGTCCAAGCATTGATCAGCCCGTCAAATTGTGTAACAGTAAAGTCGAATTCAATAGTTCAATCACAAAACATATAACACATGACACACAAAGAGAACAAACGACTTCAAATCAGCCATAGCAAATGAATAATGCTCAAAATAAGTAGAGCAGAAATCAGATATGAAAGTAGCAATAATTTGTTGATGATTGTATTTGTTTGACGAGTCTGTTGGACTAGTGACTAGTGATCCTGACTGCTAAGCTAGAGGTCGTGGGTTCGATTCCCACACAGGACAAATAATTGTGTGATAAGCACGTTTTGTTTTGTGCCTGGGTGTTATATATGTATTTATATCCTATACTAAGTATTTATTTATAAATATATTAGTATGTTTATCAGCAGTCTGGTTACTGGACCGATTTCGATAATATTTTACTACCAGGTAGCTGTCTATATAAGGAGTAACTTAGGCTATTTTTCCTTTCAGAAACACCCCGTAAAATTTAACCCGGTCCGGGAATCTAACCCACAAAAGCAGCACTTTTCAAAATCCACTCCAACAACGTCGCGGGTTAGATAAATGAGAGTAAGCTGATATTGAGGACATGAATAAAATATCTAATCTATAAACAACTTAAGATAATCAGATCGTGTTACTACGAGTACTAGACGTCAAGTTTTTATAGAAATTCAAGTTATTAGACTAATTTCAGAAGTACAATAATAATAAATAATAATAATATTTTCACACACATCTCACACACGTCTGATCCCAAACTATGCCTGAGAACTACGCCAGAGCCTGTGCTATGGTAACCAGACTGCTGATAAACATACTTAAGTATTTTTAAATACATACATATTATAGATAAATTACACCCAGTCACAGAACAAATGACCGTGCTCATCACACAATTTTTGTTCTGGGTGGGCATCGAACCCACCACCTCCGGCTTAGCAGTCAGGGTCACTAACCACTAGACCAACGGGCCAGTCAAAAAGATACGGCCAAAATCTTTATAGGTCGCCCAAGTAAGTCAGTACTCCCCTGCTATGTTACAAAGGCGAGGAGAGTAACGACAAAGGTAATTGGGATTGGTGATTGATGGCGGGGAGTGGGTGGTAGGTACAATTATATATAATTTAGCTACGCTACATCATAAATAAAATCATCATCAACAGCCTTTAATTGTCCACTTCTGGACATAGGCCTCTCCACAGAAAGGAGGTTTTGACCTACTATTCCATGCTGGCCAGTTTGGTATAGGGCTTTTGTCAAGTTTTTTTTCTTTTTGCAGTGGTGTTGTCCTGCGTTGCTTGCTGCCTGAGTCGGCTCTTACGACACCCACTGGAGGAATAGGGGTGGCAACATTCCGTAATCTTGATCCGCCAGTACACGGATAAACAAAAATATATAATAGTGAAAAAGATACAATACACTGCACGTATCAAATATAAAGTGATAACTTTGGTGTAGAAATGAATAAGTAGGTACTTATGACTATAATATTATGATTCATACATTGAGTCACGTGTTGGAGGGGGGGGGGGGGGGGGAGGTCTCAACCGACTGTTTGTGACATTTAACATTCCAACGTAATCTACCAGTTTATTTTTTTTAAAGTGTGGAAATCCCACGGACCTCCCTTAACCTAGCGCTGAAGAGGTATTTCGGAACTATACCGACTTTTTAATATATACTATTCAAGGAATGACTGAAAAGTGAAAATGAAAGAAATGTACCTGGATGACAGAGCTTTGCTCGGTTTTTTTTTTTTTTGGTAAATTAATCGCCCCCGGAACCCCCTACATACTAAATTTCATGAAAATCGTTGGAGACGTTGCCGAAAAAGGAAAATATATATATACATGTTACAAACTTGAATAGTTTTACAAAATATTTAAACGTCTCTTTTATATTTTTTCTCTCTTATGTCTCTTTTAAAAATTGGTTCCCAAGTCGCCATTTGAACCGTACAACTATTAGTCATGCGTCTTAATTATCAGCGTCGCTCCGTGTATGTGTTATACACAAGACAGCATTCCCGAGATTAACCGATCTGTTTTCGGACCGAAAATCAGTCGGGTGCAAATATAAGCACTTATATTACAAATACTTTAGAACATTAACAAGACTTCAATGAAAATAAAACATTAGTGAAACTTAGTATTTAATACATTTTTACATTAATCTTTATGTACTCTCGCCATTTGTATATTTTTTTTTGAACATTGACAAACTATTACATAGTTATAAGACTACTAGGGTATAACATATCGTGAGATCCATCTTTCAATCATTTCACCTTGTGCATCGCACTCCTGACACATCGCAGGCGAGGGCTGACTATCACGTTCATTCTGTAGATAAGAGATTAGATTGTTTATTCGATGTTATCTATTATAAATTTATATCTATAACGTGGGCTTACTTTTAAAAGAATCAATATTCCAAAAAAATCTAGTTAATTTTACTTATCTGTGATATACTCACCTTATGAGTTATATAGCTGTAATCAGTCTCAACATCAAAATTAAGCAAAACAGTAAAGAATAATAATTATCTTTTGAAAAAGTATTACCGACTTCAATCAATGTCCCAACTCGCCCCAACAGCTTCTTTTACTTGAATGGAACTAAAATTATACAGTTATAGCAAAATATTGACGTTT